AAGGAAGGTTCTTTTAGTAAGTATATTTACTTAAATAAGGAGATATTTTTAATCATTTTAAAATTCAATCTTACTTTAAAATTAAAATTATCCTAAATATGCAATGCTAAACTGTTCTTTTATCCCCAAAAAGATGAGTGCAAAAGACATAGTAGGTGCTGCGCATGGATTTGCATTGATGGGTGTGTGGGGGGAAAGGGTACGAAAATGGGGACAAGAAGATCTCAGGGCTATCTTCCCAGAAAGACACCCAAGTCAGTCCCAACAGTTATGTACCAACCAAACAGAAACCCTACCCCTACCTATTGTCCACTTCCCCCCCAACCCCATAGGTTTTAGGGTACCCTACCCTATCACTGTACACAACACTCTTTCCACCCCAGCTTCACCTAGGCCTGGGAAGGTCTCTCCAATGCTACTTATTGTTCATGGGGATTGGATACACACCCTTGTCAGGGCTTTTATGTTAACTTATTGCCCTTTTTAATCTTTGTTTATGACTGGCGATATTCCGTGCCAGCGTCTTTTCTTGTGATAAAGATGTTAACTAGAGGTTAAAATATTTACTATGGTTTCGCTGCTATAAGTGATCATGACAACTCGTGTCACAATGTAAAAAGTTTTAAAAGAGATATTGATAATTATTAGATAAATCTATTTGAGACCATCGAATGAACTTATTAAAATTTATCTTATTTTATACTATAGATTAGTCAAAATTTAAGTATGTAAGAAGGTGGTTGAAATGATTATAAATATAAGTGAGTGATTAAAATATACATGAATAAATTTATGATGGTTAAAAATATAACTCGTTGGATCCAATGCTTTGAATTGTTGGTTTGTTTTATGGGGACGTATATTTTCGGGAGTTTTGTGGTTTTAAAGAGGTTTTTTCATTTTTAAAATTATTTTATAGTTTGGGACTGGTAAAATACAATTACAATTTAAACTCGCACTTTTAATATAGAAGTGTATTTATAAAACACGTTGTAACATGTTTTACAAAGATACCATACTTTTATTTAAAAAAGTGTTTTGTAAACAAGTTCGACAGATTTTTTCTATGCCTCACATAAAATCGCATTTTGAAAATAATTTTTACATTCTTAAAAAATGATTGTAAAATGAAAAAACTATGGTTATGGAGGTATAAATGATCGTAATACATCAAAACTCTCATTTGTAGTGAGATGTCTCCTTCACAACCATTGATAGTTGGGATGTTCACTCAGCCTGGTATAACTGGGAGAATTAGCGATTAAAAGATTTAAGTGTTTATAAATGATAAAGAGTCCAAAAGTTACAATAAAAACAAAAGATTTCTTCCAATTGTACTCTTGAATGTAAAGATTTAAGTGTTTATATAATGAGGGAGAAGGGCCGGAGTTCGATTTCAAGGGTGAACGAGGTTCAACAAGGGGTTTGGGAGGCCGGGTTAATTAGTATTTAAAAAGTACACTAAAAACTAGGTTACTCGAGATCGGCTTGATAACTTATTTACACCCAATTGTAATTTTAAATTAAAGAAATATATCAAAGATAGTGATAACACGAACATGCCACCATATAAAGCAAGATGGAGCTCAATGCTCGATTATATGCCTAGAAGTTCTCGTGAATATTGCATAGTTTCAAGTGCAAAACTAAAGCTAATGGTTTTATATAGGAGTGTCTTAAAAAGAGGCAACCATACATTACTCTGCATTTCAATGTTTTGTAGATTTCTATGAGTATGTCCAATTAGAAGGGTGAAAAAAAAAGAAAAGAAAAAAAGGCATTGTGTATAAGTTTGATAGTAGCATATATGATATCTACTTTTAAATGTTTTTGACTATGAGGAAGGTTACCATAGATATACATGTGTATTGGGATTTTCTTGCTTGGAAATGTCTATGATACAAAACAGTTTATTTTTGGTGTTGTAACAGAAATTACTATTGGTGAATGTCAAGTTGTATATTGCAAAAAGTTATAACTATTTGTAATTGATCACATGTTTATGATCGAGCATAATTTTTTCAATTATAACTTAAAATTTTTATCGATTATAACTTAATTTTTAAACATTGTAAACTTTGATACAGTACTAAAAGACATATAATAGGGTTCTTTTTGCTTTGGCCATCCAAAAAGAAAATAAAATCACAATCAACTTCCCAGAATAAGTGTCTCTCCAAACCTTGTGAGACCAACTTTAATATAAAGATCTTACAATAGTTCGAGACTTTCAATTCAAGACCCAACATATTCTATGTATTTCCCTTGAAGATAACTATTCTAACAGACACGACAACTCTAGACTTGTAGTTGTGACAGTTCTTTATAATGGATTATATTTAATGAAACATTCTCTCTAGCAGTTTAAAGTTAAAGAATACAACAAATAATAGAAGAAAAATCTCTTTCATAGTGAATGTTTAATAATTTTTTTTTTTTAACGATCAGGGGTGTTTGGATCAACTTACATGCACTTCGATTAATCTATTTTCCGGTCTAATCAAATACGGGTCACACCGAAATTAAAATATTTATGAAGAATAAATAACAATTAATTATTCACTTTTTGCAAAGCTCACAAATATCTGAAAAGGATATGCCTTTTTGGATGGACTAGGGTGTATATAAAGTGTTTGTCTAGATGTTGTTTCTATGTAGCTTTCATAAGACTTTAACTTTTCATTGAACCTCTATAACCAAAAGACCATCTTTTGCTTGACCAAATGTTAAACACCCATCTTTCTCAATCACATAAAGATAATGTCAACATTACAGTTAAGAAGATCCACTAGATTTGATAGATTATGGTCCAAATATTCGAATCTTTGTTTTTTACCGACTTCACATGTCTATACACTATAGACATAATTTAGGGACCCTTTTGTCGAATACTTTTTTTTATTTTTTTGGATTTTACACCACTTCAATCCTCTCACTCTATCAGACTCGACCCTATAACGTATGGGTGAAGGATAAGTCCTTATACAACGGATTGCATTGAATTTTCCAATTGAACCTAGTGTTCGGCTTGAGCTCAGGTGGCATGGATCGACAAGTGATTGTGCTCAAAATTAATTTTTATATCCTTTCAGTGAAAAACAACTAAGAAAATATATCTTACTTACCCTTTTCGTGTATAAGTGTCTAGACCGGGGAGCTATCATTGTTCATGTTTAATTTTATAGCATGTAAACTGCCTTAGATGAACAAAGACAAAAGCAATATCATATCAAATCAGAAACTCAACTCAACAAAACCATCATATTTCTCCTCTTACCCTCTATTAAGAGTCATATTTTTACTAAACCGTCAATTGTCTTCGCTACTTGTGGCCGTAAAACATCATGGTCGACTTAGCGAGTCGAGAGATTATAATCCATAAATTTACCAGAACAAGTTGAAGCTTCACTTATTGCAGAGTAGAAAAAGAAAACAATAGGGAAAAATGGTGTTTTTTTCCATAAGTTGGTGCTCATTACTCAAAAGGGAAGAGCCCCAACTACCTATCCCAATTACAAAGCCATAAAAAAAGACAATCTTTTGCATAGATTTTGTCATTATGTTGCTGTATAAGTTTAAAGAGTTAGGCAGGTCCCTTCTTTGTGTGCATAAATTTAATGCTCCATGCAAAAGGAAAACAGATTTTTTTTTTTTTTTCTCTTTTTCCCAACAGAATATTTTGTTTACAGATTTGAAAGCAACTTGTGATATATGAAGATAGAGATGGGCACGTTGTTAGGGTAACTAGCAGCCATCCTCCAATTTTTTAGCCCTTGGCTTGATCTTCTATTAAGTCGTTATAAACGTCACGTGATATTGAAATTTGTCGTTTGAATTATATCAAGTGAATAATGGTTATGATGGACTTATTCATGAAATATTTTTTCACTTCGATCATTTTGTATACAACCCAAAAGACGAATTTTTTTTTTTAAAAAGGGTTCTATTTTCATTTTCAACTCTTTGAATAGTTCTCTCTTTTGGCTGAAGAACAAAGAGTAGCTACCAAAACACAGCATTCAACAAATACCTTTCTTCATAACACATGATGGGGCATGGAATTTATAACAACAATACATATGGACCTCAGAAAGTGATGATCCCTTTTCTGATAAAATGTATGTGATGTTTGATTCTTTGATCTCACACTTGAATGGTGATGAATGGTCGATGAGGTTTTAAGATTAAGAGGCATCATGATTTAATCTGAGACAATTGGTTACCCTATGTTTTTTTTTTCTTCTTCAAATAATCTATATAATTCATAAAAAATATTATAACTCATACACGAGGCTTTCGTACCGAAAGAGATAATACATTTATCTTGGAACGTCTAATTCTCAAATTTCAATTTTCGATGTATGAAGAACATTCACGATCATGCACTCCAGATTTGCTGTCTAAATCATATGGATTTAATCTCCTCACACACAAGAAAAAGACAAAATATAATATATCAAAACAACATTATTTCAACTTGGTAATCACATAAGTAAATCCTGTTTTATCATTCAAACTATGATCATTTCATGTTGATTTCAAAGCATCAATCTCATTCACATACAACATATTTTTTTTTCTTTTTTTTTTTTTAAAATTTTGTTTCAATGACCAATTTTTTTTTTTTCAATTTTGATTAATCGAAATATCTAGATCAGTTTATGTACAATTTGATTAATTTTTTTTTTAACTCGATCAAAGACAAGTTAAAAGTAAGAATTATCGAGGTTCGGATTCGGAGGAGGAATTTTCAACTTGTCTGCTTAGGCCGCATTCAATATCTTTCTCAGAAGCGAGCAAGAAGGTACACCCAAAGAAGCGCGCGAAACCCCATGGCCAAGCCGCTTATTCAGAGGGACAACACAGAGAGAGAAATAAATTCCTCGTGATTCCACTTTCTTCTGTGTATTTATTGGTTTATAGGTTCCACCTTTATGATCTATGATCCACTTACTTATCGAGGAGATTTCCCCTCCTTGCACACACACACACAACCCCCCCCCCTCTCTCTCTCTCTATTAGTACCCACTCTTCCTATATATACCACTATTTTTTACAGTTTTTTTCTCCCTCTGTACCCTCTTTGTCTTTCTATGTTCTAGCAGTGTTGTCTCGGCTGTTTCAACCTTGAGAAGCAGAGACATTCGCAAAAAGTCTCGCCGACATACCATATATATGTTGAAGCGGATTTGAGAGGGAGAGAGCGCTCAGTTATTTTTTGTTTCTAATGCAACACGAATCAGCGACAATGTCAGGTTGCCGAGTGGACGATCCTCGTATCCATGGCATCAAGTCTCAAATCCGGGTTGTCCCTAACTTCCCTAAACAAGGTACAAAACTCACATCTCGCTCTCTCTCTCTTCAAGGGCATATAGCTTATATTATTATCCATTTGATTATGCTTAATGATGGGCTCGCTGACAGGGATTATGTTTCAAGACATCACAACATTGTTACTCGATCCTAAAGCCTTCAAAGACACCATCGATTTGTTCGTCGAGCGTTACAGAGGCAAAAACATCTCAGTAGTTGCCGGTAAATGCTCATTCTTAATCTACAAATTTCATTATGTATATATGGGTGGCACAATATATTTGCAAGTTTTACTGTGGGTGACTTTCTGAATGCTTTATGAGGGACATTGTGGGAGTGACTGTGTGTGAGGAGTGATTCTGTTAGTGGAGTGTCTTGTTAATTGCTACTTTCTGAAGAAGATCATGAGCGGCTCATATGAGTTTGCGGTGCATGTGCTCAGTGGATGGTGGTGGTGGTTGAACGGTGATGGATGGACCTACCCGCGTGATGATGATAATGGGTTTTAGGAGATTGGCTCGATTTGTGTTTTTCTTTTATGTTTGGCTTCATATTATCATGATTTCCACGCTTTAACTACTGGGCGAGTTGATTTTGAGCCTATATGTATGGCAATTGGCAATGCCTTTTCAAAGTTCAAATTTGTGGTTGTGACTGAGTGGCATTTGAGTTTTCTGATTATTAATAATTGCTGGAAAGATTGTTTATGAAGGTCTGGAGTCCACTAGATTAGTGGGCTTTTTGTCTCTTTCACTGACATCTGTGAATGATTTGTACATTGGATTTTCTGTTTCCTGAACAGAGCCGGTCACTAGTGTGTTTCTAGTTTCATGTACTTTCTGCTTCACTTGCAGTAATGATATATAAAACTACTGCAATTTCGATTGTAGATTGGATGGTAAACATAATGGAAAATCGGAGTTGATTGGAAGGTGCATACATTTGTTAGTGTACATCAGGTTTCTGTCCAAGTAATGTTATTTTGATTATTTGCCCTAAACAAAATCTGTTTTGATTGGCTTATGTAGGTTGATGAAAATTACTAAGAGAAGTTGACTAACCCACACATAGTTGCAATGCCTTGGCATTGTTACGGATACTCCTGCAAACACATAGGAAGTTGAGTGATTTGCCTTGAACTTGTCAAGATCTTTGTTTGCAAATTTCATGACGAGGGATTCAAAATGATGTGGTTCAATAGGTTACATTCTTATTTTGTCCTTGTGTCGTGTGCTTAAGTGGATATTTCTGTCTTCTTGTGTTGGTGAAACTTTTCTCACTCAACATAGCTTTATACTGCCAACAGTTGTGGCTTTACTTTACATATAATATTAAATCTGGCAGGATCTTATTAGCTGTCACTCGTCACTTATGTTGACAGTGTCTGTAGTGAAGGTGCAAGCTCACATACTTTTGGTTCATTAATACACCACAAAACTGCATACATTGAGGATGGGGTATAGGCTTTGAACAATCGCATTCATCATAGTATAACACGGTGTTGCCCTTTTGGATGTCTTTTCAAAAAATGAAATAATGAAATTTTAAAGGCTTTTTTGAGTTAATTTTAATTGCTTTTGAAATGGACTTTATTGGTAATTGGTTGTCTTTCTTAATAAGTTTACATTTCTGGTTATTTTTGTCATCTGCAACGTGCATGAGGTTTTATTTGGAAGGGAAAAAACATTACAGGAGTAAACACATGTTCGCAAATTGTCCCAAAATCCATTTACTAAAGTGGCCTTATCTTTTTCCAAGGATGTAAAAAATGTGGTTGAAAGATTAGTATCACCCAAGGTTGTTTTATATGGTTGAGAGACTTCTTCATCCATTGCCAATTAGTTTTGAGTTGGTGCTTCAAACATGGTATCATAGTTGAGACTTGGGTGATTAATCTAAGTATTGAATTCTCCAGCTTGTTTGTATGTCTATTTTGTTTTGTTTTGTTTTGTTTTGTTAGTCCATGTGCAAGCCTAGGTCTGAAGCCAAACAGTGCTAAGAGTGATTGTATTTCACATGGAAATATTAGGACCACTCAAGGACAGGGGTGGAGCCAGAAAAATCTTTGAGAGGGGGCAAAATATTAACATAAAATTTTTGAATTTCAAGCATGAGAAATGTACAAAAATTTAAGATGAAGTTACTAAATGAAACATAAAATTGAGAACATTTTAGGGGATAGAGGGCCACTACTTAATAAAAAATCAATCCATTGTACAATATTTTTGAAAAATAGGGAGGGGGGGGAATTTATCAATTTACTTGTGTATTGGCTTTCTAACATATACCTGTATGTGTAATTATTCAAAATTGAAAAAAGGGGGGGGGGGGGGGGCACTTAAGACTAAGGTAGCTCCAACCCTGCTCAAGGATGATTTTATATGGTTGAGTGACTTCTTTATCTTTTCCTACCTCAAACAACAAAGATTAAGAATCATCAGATTCAACAGCCATTCTGTTTTATATACCTTCCTTGCAACAATATCCTCCTTGTTCTCTGGTTTGTTACCAATAATTTCACAGGAAATCTTGCTGCAGATTTGTGTTAAGAGTTACAAATGTTAACATTTTGTTTTGTTTTTTTTTTAATCATAGAAGCATATGCTATATTTTAAGCGAAGTGCTAACTTATCAAAGAGTTTCTGTTTGATCTATTCTTGATATAGTTAGTCCTTTCATTCTGTTCTAATATGTGGCTGCTTTTGGTTTGCTAGGAATAGAGGCTCGGGGTTTTATATTTGGTCCTCCCATTGCATTGGCAATAGGAGCAAAGTTTGTCCCGCTGAGAAAACCAAGAAAACTACCTGGTATCTTTCATCCTCCTTCAGTGATTCCTGAATTGTGGTGGTAAAATTACATGCATATTACTAACTCCCATTGGTAGGTTTATTTATGTCTTGCGTAAGCTGTTGGCGCTGTAGCTATGCTGGTATGGTCCATCACATTGATTCAGATTGTTTCCCCTCATCATTAATGTTATCATTAGCCTTACATGCTCAACTAACCATTCATGTGACTTATTGTTTCATTTGATGCTTCTTTTTATTGATATGAATCTGTACTTGTGAGTTCTTTGATTAAGACATTCCTTTTCTTTTTAAGTGGTTCTTTTTGAGGAGTAATTTGTTGTAAAGAACTAAGATAGTGACTATGATTGAATACAACTTACAGATGGCTCTGCCCAATAACGCTTACTCGCGATGTTGTATTTGCTGGGTTTTCCAATCATATTTATCTACTGATGATTTTGGTGTTCTATAGTCACTCTTTTCAAGAAAAATAAAAAAACTAAAACAAAAAATAAAAGAAAAAAGAAAGAAAAACTGAATCGGCAATTGTTGAGCAGCAGAATGAATGTTAATGGTCTTTGGGTGTTCTAAAATGTGATACTGCAGGGAAAATAACTGTGGTTTCTGACTTCTCTACAATAGTTTTCATTCATTATTGAATTTTCTTGTTCTTGATATTCTGTTTTGGTTTCTGTTATAAATAACAGTTGAGCTGTGAATTGTCAGTTTCTCAGAGTCATGCACAAACATATGTTTTCTTTAATTTCACACAATGAGATTTATGTAATGTAGCGCTCCTTAGGATCAGTAAATTATCCTTGTGACTGTTTTACAGTTGCTACAATTGTATGGTTTGGTAAAAAATCTAGTTCTTTGTTCTTTAGAGATGGTGGTGTTTATCTTTTGTATGCCTATATTATGTAGTTTGCCTGTCAAATACATTGCTGGCCCAGTTGGTGTTGCAGCTATTTTTTTGTTTATATATGTATTTTTTGGCATCCTATTACACAGCTTATATGACTAACCATATTGCACACACTGTGTGGCACGTTGGCATCATATCCTGGTCGGTGCTCAATGCAATTGTTAGGTAACTTTATCTTCATGCTTAGTTACTCCTATGTTGTGCTTTGGTAATATTCCTTTTACATTTGTTCTTGCTCAGACCTTTTAAAGCACTTGGACAATTTTTATTTGTATGCCGTCCTTGTGGTAGTTACTGCAAATGTCAATCTCGAAATGACTCTATCAACATTTACTTGAATTTCAGGTAAAGTTTACAAAGAAGAGTATGTATTGGAATATGGTAGTGATTGCCTTGAGATGCACATCGGAGCAGTGGAACATGGTGAACGAGCTTTGGTGGTTGATGATTTGATTGCTACTGGTGGCACCCTCTGCGCGGCTATGAATTTGCTGGGTACTCCTTTTGTATATCTTTCATCTAGCTTAATGAGTTTCACTTGTAAGACCGTTCTTTATTTTCAAGTCGTGCATTGAGGAACCTGAATTTGGTTGAAGAAATTTTTCCTAAAAATTTGAGTTTAGTCAGCTGTCAACAACTGTATAACTGAGACGACCAGAACCACTTATTTGATATCATATTATCATTGGACCTCATGAAGTACCATGTTACTTTATTGCTTCCAGATATGATCATTTTAATGACATCAATATCTGGTTTTTTGGAAATTAGCACCACAGGTAGGTAGATTGGTTTAATGATAATGCAGAGTTTACTGGTCTAACAATTTTGCTTCTTTAGAAAAAAAGCGGCTTGCATGAGGTTCCCGCCATTGCCATTTGTTTAGAATTACATGTTTCTTTATTGTCCCCTACTGTTTTAGTGCATTGTATAGATGGGATTTTTCCTTATTGGAATTCTAAGAGACGGGCTTGGAACATGGAATGAAAATATACATGTATTTTATTAAGAATTCATTTTATCATTATAGGAACTTATTTGTTGTTGTTATTTTAGATGACAGTTGTATATTCAGGACAGCCTTAAATATGACTCTTTTGACCAATTTTGTTTTCTCCTTCTCTGTCATTGCCTTTCTTCTTCTTTGTTCTCTTCTTTTTTTTCCCTCTCTGCAATTCTCTTACTGTTCGGGTACGGCATTGGCTATTCTCTGTATTAACTTGATCACACATGGTACTAGTTTATTTGGAACCTTAAAATTTCTGTAATCAATTTCAGTGAAGATGTTGCATTATTATGCCTATTGAGTCTGGCACACCACCAATATCATCTTGGCAATAGAGACAAAGCTTAAGCATTCATACATTGAAGGAGACAGTTGCCTTGACATTTTGGTATCAATAGAAAATGTGTAATCTTCTTGGCAATTAATTGGCTAATGAATCTACAGCCTGTTCTGTAATGGTTGCAGTCCTTTTTTTTCACGTTAATGATATGTATCCTCTTTTGAATAAGATTGTTTTGCTCTAAAATAACCTAATCTTGCATTTAAGAACAGTTGTGGCTTAGTAGTTTCTTTGTTCATTGATTTTGACTCCTTTAATGCAGATTTCAAAACCATGTCATGCTCTGCTTCTTTGAAGTGGTAATCATGATCCACCTGTAATAACTTTTTGATTTTAAATTGTTTTCCAGAACGTGCTGGAGCCGAAGTTGTTGAATGTGCATGTGTGATTGAATTACCAGATTTAAAGGTGCACATTTCTTTTTCTTTCCAACCCTGTTGTTCCTCTTCTATTCCTTGTTTTGGACTCAAATCCCCTCCAATACACTTTTCCTTCAATTTCCTTTCACTCACCACTAATGAGTGAGGGCTCCACTTGTATACAATGGTCCCACACAAATGCATGGTAGATGATCAGCCAAGAAGGAAATTAAAAAGAAAATACATTGGAGGGGATCTCAGTCCACCTGTTTTTTGCTATAATTAGTTACGTTTTTATTTCTTATTCTTTTTTTGGTTGTCTTCTGCTTCTATTTCAGTTTCTCATTTTTATATATTTCTTTTTGCCAGTCTTTTGCTTGCATATTGGAAAACATTTTTGGTGTTTGCATGACCCCTGTTGCCCCTGTTGTCTACCGTTTAGTCAATTGTCGTATGTTCCTTCCACTCACAATGGCAATATACATTGACATATTACGAACCCAAATGTCGCCCTAGGTCCGGGGGTCCTATGTGCTGATCAGTATTGGCATAACAACTAGGTGATTTAAATACTAAGTATTTGATGGAACAATGGTGGGTTGCGAGTCCTTACCTTATAATGTGAGTGGTCGACAATTTTGTCAATGACAACAGTAGAGCTTTGGGATCTACTAGTGTTATTTAGAACACGTGTTAATATGCGGCTGAGATTTTACCTCTAGTGCCCACGATTTTTAAATTAGAAGATTCAAAATTGATTATCTACTGTTATTGAGAGTCAATAGGGTTTTGTGCCAGCAAATCTTTTTTAAAATTTATCTTGCCATCCATGGTTAAACAAGAAATTGGTGGTGGAATTTAATTGTCTCTTTTTGTTGAATTTGATTTTTAAAAATAGCAGTTTGCAATCTTTTCAATTGAGCAGATTCAACTCTATGATGTATTTTTGGTGTAGAAATTTGACCACTTGTAAATTGTAATTAAAAGATGAAGGGGATTAATTGAATGGAACACTACCACTTGTGGTGTTCCAGTATTGTTTATTAGTGTGTTAATTGCTAGGAAAGGCGTCTCTGATTTTCATAATTGTTTAATGGCGTTAAAAAACATATAACAAATAGGTAATGCCTGTTGGACTGATTAGAGAAGCTGCCATCCTTGATTAGTTTGTTATACGTGGTTGTTATCAAGTTGTCTATAATTTTCTGTCTTCATGTTTATCTTGGGGTTGGGTATGTTACAGGGACGTGAGCGGTTGAATGGAAAGCCTCTCTATATTCTTGTGGAGTCTCACTAGCACTTGGCAGATTACGTTATGACCTCTGTTGCCATGCTGCAGCACGGCAAACTGTACATTAGAGGGCTATTGCAGGCTGTCTCTCATCTGAAGATCTTCTTTCATTTTTCCCTTCCATTTCTGAGTAGTGGATTTTGAAACAACTTGATAATTGTAAGACCTTTCATTTCCCCCATTAGCGTAGGAACAATGAACTTATGCAATCAGTTTGATGACAAATGCTTGCAGGGAACATCTCTTTCTTGCAAGCATAAATTGTTATTACTCTTCTTGAGGATGTTATTATTGAGGCTTCGTTAATAGCCCAATGACCATATGTTTGTAGATCACCACGTGCTTTTGCTGCAAAAAAGCTCCAGTGGTTTTGATTCCCAATTCGAGGCTACTTGTAAGTAACCAACCCCTCTATTTGTTAGATGACAAGTAGAGCTCTTGAGGACGTTATTGGTTGAGGCTTCCTGACAAGCCCAGTGGCCATATGGTTGTGGATCACCATGTGATTTTACCGCAACAATTCTCTAGTGGGATTAGTTTTGCTAATCCAAGGCTACTCTGTAAGTAACCACCTCCTCTACTTGTTAGATGAAAAGGTCAATCAGCTCATGCCAGTATCTTTGTTCAGAAACAGGCTTTTTGATTTTGTTTGGCGACAGGTTAATTGATTTTGTTAGATTGCATTCAAATCGCCTCTTTAAACCTCTCTTATGTATCTGTGTATGTATCTGTGCAATTGAATACTAATATGAATCTATTGCACAAGGATGCAAATGAATCGAGTTGGTTTGCAAGTCTTGTCATTTAAGCAGTAGTGCATTTTTTGTGTTGTGATTTCTGGGTTAGTGTGTAATGTTCAGGTTGTGTAGCCTGAGAGACATGGTCTGACCACTAGGTTTCTTTGACAAACCCAAATAAGGGGTGATCTTGCTTCCAAGTTGTAATCTTCTGGTAGTGTGGTCCTGATTCCATTATAGAAAATAGGGACAGTTCTTAATTTCTTGCCGTGAAGGCAAAAACAGGGTAGTTCAAGTTTTTTGAATCTTTAAACAATGGTTCTAGTAGAGTTAGAAATTAGTTTTGAGTCAATTCATTATGCTTAGGTGGTTCACTAGCCGCCCCCCCCCCCCCCCCCCCCCCTTTTTTTTTCTTCAGTCTATCTCTAAGTGTTCTAGTAAGTTGGAACATGAATTGAATTTTGACGATATCTTAGAGTCGGGTCATGAAAGATTTGTCTCTCATGATTAATACTTTAGTTCCCGCATGAATGACCTATTTTTAATTGGATTGAGAAGAGAAAAAGGATAAATCAAGGTGTGCATAAATTGATTCGGAGTTGAACTAAAAAAATACAAGAAGAAAGAGAATAAGTTACAAGATTAAGGATTCATGTAGGCTGCAAGGTTTACATCCAAGACACAGACATATACCCACCTACTGGCCCTTTAATTCTCTTAACATTGGAAATATCAGGATCCTCAGCCGTGACTTGCGCCTTACTTGCCTGAGCCAAAACACTGCGGGGCCGGGCCCTACACTTAGCAATCATCTCCCCTCTCTAGGAGGAGGAAAGAAATGAAACAAAATATTTTGTTTTCTACTATTGGCACTATAATCATTGGTTTCCTGCTTTAAGATACAATGCTGCCATGGATGAGTTGAGGCTTGTTAATGAATCAATATGAATCCGACTTAGGACTCCTCTCCCTCCTTGACTCTAAATCTGTAAAATATATTGACGATTTTACGTATCGTATCATAAAATGTAATGAATAGTAATTGATTGAAAAATAATACAAAAGTGACAACAAGACCATGTATGTGTAAATGGCATGTTGTAGTCAACAAGACGAAGTTTGGTGCCATAACCAACCAAATAAATAGAAGCAATCAAAATTTGTTTACTATAGTATAAGAATACAATAAAACGTTCATTGTTCAATATCTTGACTGTTCAAGAAGTTGGACTAAGGCATGATTATTACTTGACAACAATAAGCTAATCACTTTAATAATGAAACGGAGATAGTGCCAAATATATATGTGACAGGAGCACCTTGCCTACCATACTCCATGTAATTTAATAACCTAATGATTTGCCATGTCTACCATCATGAGCCAAATTTGAGTATCTTTAGATTGAGCTGTTATTGAAAGGCAATCTTTTACGTTGAAACTTCTACATCATAATGCTCAAATTTGAGTGACGCTATACCTTTTGTTTTATGTTTTCTTTGTCATAATGCATGATTCCATGTACTATCCAAATGGTTTATAGTTCAATCCCTCTTGATTTTAAAATAGATATGTCAATGGATAGAATTCTGATTAGAATAAATTTAAAAGCATAATAATTAGATTCGTTGGTGATCCAATTAGAATATTCAATACAATCATAATATATAGTATTATGTGATGATACAATTAGTTTGTTAATCATTTGATGTTGGAATTCTAACAAACCCTTGGCTAAATATAAGAAAGGAGGATGGTATGTACAACCAGATGACACTTACGGTAGCAATAAAATTGAACTCACCAAGACAAAGAACAAACACTCTAGAGGAAGATGAATGAGCCTTTAATGGTTTCTTCACCAATCTCTCTTATAGGGAGATAGCCCCAAAGTTGGGGAAATCATTCTTTCTTGAAAGAGCTATTTTTACTGGTAAGTAAATGAAAATCATTCTAACTTCAACTTACGCACTAACCATAAATCAGATATCCTTTAACAACCATTTTCAAGAATTGAAAATATAGCATCCACCTTAAATGGGAATTAGTGTATTGATACCGTAACAGTCGCTTATTTTATATTATTCTCATAAATAAGAATCAATACCCTTTTACAGTTACTAAAAGAAACTTTTGTTTTTTACCCTTTTTCTTCTATATAATGAACTTTGGTATATTTTTAAATGGTTTTAAGCTACTTATGATCAAGCCTAACACATTGGTCCCACACCTTTGTACAACACCAAGGGGTCCCTTTAGGCGAAAGCAAGGCCAAAGGGGGAACTAGGAGAGAATTAATGTCTCTGTGTCTGTACCCTTATTGTGACAAAATCACCAATAATATAAATAGAAACAAAACAACAAAGAAACAATGGTGTGATGAAATCAGAAATATTTTTCAACACAATTTTCTCCTAATAGATAATCACCGAGGTTATTCCTATTGCGGGATTTTAAAGAGGATTCGATGTATGCGTTCTTATGGAGCAACCCAATTCTATCATCATCGTGGCAAAAAGTGAAGATAGAAAAAGAACAAAGAAAATAATATTTAGACAAAAAAAAAAAAAAAGAAAGAGGAATTGATAATTGCATGGAGGATCTTCTTGGAATTTAATTTTACAATTTATAGAGGATGAGAAAGCAAGGCAATACCGCACGAGAGTCAAACACTAGCAACTCGCCATTGGCCCTACTCACCGAGTCAAAACCAACTCGTCTTCCCAACAGCGAGTCAAACCCGAGTTGCTTGCAAACCCGTCCCGATATGACCCGACAAACTAACATTGCCCTCCTACCCCTCCCACCGCCGGCATTTTCATGGGCCGGTCCGCTCCCTGAAAACGTACATATTGCCGCCCCTTTTCTTCCATAAAAAGTATAAACGCCACTGCATGAATCGTACGCGCCACCATTGTTGGGCCCCAAGCAATAAAACCTCATCACCTCATTCCCATCCGCAACACACCGAGCGTGGTCTTCACTGCCACCTTCCTCCTCTCCTGAACCAGCCCGAGACTTCACTACCTGGCGATATTCTTCAAATCGGATCTCTGTTCGGTTCAAATTCTGGACCTTGAAAACCATTTCGATCTGACCCGAGAATGCTTTCGGTGACCAGCTTGTATGGAAGATTATCTCTACCACATTGCGCGAAGGGTGGCCCTCCGGGAGTTCTGTGAGAGCTGGAAAGAGTGGGTCTGAGGCACGTGAGTGGCGCGTGGCCGCACTGGTTCGAGGACGGTGAGTGGGTTGGTTTGAAACGAGTTCGGGTTTTTTTGAACTGGGTTGTTTGGTAGGTGGTGTCTGTGGTGGTTTATCTTTTGTAGGTTTGTTGTGTTTGGTGGTTTGAACAACGTCTTTGAGATTTTGATAGCTTTTTCTGCAACTTGCACTGTTGGGTATGAGGTGGTGGCTTTTAGATGCTGTGTGGTGGTGGTGATGGGGCTGAAGGTGAACGACGTCGTTTACTGCTCTGGATTTGCATTGTAGCGACTTGACCCACCCTTTCGCCATTAAGGACGACAGTAATACCTTTCAGGTTCCCTAATGCCTCTCTCTGTGTCTCTCTGGTATTAGGTTTTGGTTTTGAGCCGGAAAAGAATGGAATGGAAGCGACATGGCGTGGCGAGATATTAAATGAGACGATGGACTTTATGAGGAGTTGAGATTACCAGATTGCCCTTTTGAACGGTTGGAATTTACTCAAGTGGACGTTCACTTTCAAACATGGGAGAGTAAAACAAGTCGTTCACCATGAGAGAACAAATAACATTTTATGATACAATACAAAAATTCATCAATGGCTTTCAGGAGTGGGAGAGATAGAATTGACAGTAGGTTTCACGGACCTATTGTTTTATCTGGGCAGTTGGTTGGACAGTATATATATATTCTAGTTATTGTCGGTGTAGTAGTAGATTAATAAAAAATAAAAAATATATTTATATTTATATTTAAAATTAAATCACAAATATAAAAAAAAAAAAAAATTTAAATATCGATTATAGTGAGGGTAAGAGGTAGTGGGCGGCAATGGTGGTGATAGGAGACAGTAATAATTGTTGTGTGTGGCAATGATCACGGTGGCGACGATGTTGGTAGAGGTAGTGGTGGAACGGTTTTAAATATTATTTTTTTTAAAATACTTATGAAAAATAATTCTTAAAAATACTTTTAAAAAATCATTCCAAACACACTCTTAGAGTTCTATTTTTCCTATTAAATTTATGGTGTTAATATTAGCCGTTAGATTAACTTTAAAATAAAATTTAAAGCGATTTAAACCTTTAAATTGACCCACCCATCACCGTCTCCTACCACCACCGTTGCCGGTCACAACCTCTCACCCCCAATTATAAATCGATGTTTAAATTCTTTTATCTCTTGTTTATATTTGTGATTTAATTTTAGATATAAATACAAATATGTTTATTGTTTATTATTTTTTACTACTCTGTACCTTCAGGCACAAGCAATAACTAATACATATATAAAGTACAATACAATTCAATTCTAAAAAAATAAATAAAATGACTTTTACTTTTCGCGGTTCAGATCTCTTTAAATTTTACTTTTAAAGTTAATCCGACAATTAATATTAACATATAAAATTTAATAGATAAAATAGGCTATTAAGGATGTGTTTGAGATAGTTTTTTAAAAGTACTTCAAAAATTTATAATTTTTTATAAGTACTTTAAAAAAAAATAATATTTGAAACTACCCCATCACCACCATTACCACTACTGACACCACCACCACGCCACCATTTATGCCACAACAACCACCACCACCCTTTACCCATTGCCTCATCACGACTCCCACCATCCCTATCGCATCCACCATCACTATCACCATCGTTGACGCCACCCTACCACCATCATTATCACCGTCATCCCACCACCACCGACGCGGCCACCACACCACCACATTTGCCACAACAACCACTACCATTGTCGCCACCCCCCGACCACCACACCCACACCCACCGCCCCACAACCACAATCACAACTACCATCACCCCCATCGTCCACCATCACCCGTCACCACCCTTGCCGCCACCCTACCACCACCACCATACCTTACCAATGCCCCATCACCACCACCACTACTGCTGCCACCTTACTATTACTGCCACTGTCCCACCATCACCATTGTCACTCACGAATGTCACCATCACAACCGATCGTCATCACCGATCATAACTATCACTGTCTCCAACCACCAACACTGTCGCCACCACCACAACCACCGCTTGCCCTTACCACCACCACAACCACTGCTCGTCCTCACCACAATTGGTGTTTAAAATTTCTTTCTATCTCTTTTATCTTTGTGATTTTATTTTGGGTATGAATACAAATATGTTTATTGTTAAATTTTTTTTATTACTCCGTGTGTGTGTATATATATATATGTGATCAACTCTTTCTTGGTCATTAATAAAATAAAATTTTTCTTGGTCGGATTATGAGTAATCGTTATATTGTCAATTTCAAAATGAGCCAGATTTACCGTCATAATCAAGCCTTTGTAAACCTGTGCATACTTTGCAATATAGTCATGTAGTTTTCTTTGAAATGAAGTTGTCATATAGAGTAATCGACCAATTATGTCAAAATAATGCGGTTAGATAATCATCTCTGGGTTAAAGTTGAAATCACTTTGTGTTGTTTACGCGAGATTAAAAGTATGGAAGGAGATTATTTGTTTGATGGTTTTTTTGGGTGTTTAAAAACCAAACTTAAAGAAATGTCCATTTCCAGATTTCCTTCATGTGGGGAAGGGGAAGCATACATCTTAGCTTCAAACCTAACCTTACTAAAACCAAATAAATTAGATCCCTAACCTCCCTTTGGATGTTTTAAGCAATCAACTCTTTGAACCACAAAAATGGAATTTAGATCATCTTTAATATATACTTTTTTTCCTACTACTTCTATTCTTTGTAAACCACCCAATATGTATCGGTAAGAGACCCATATATATACAATGTATCCCACTTGAATTCATTATATGTAATCTGCTAAATAAGAAAATAGAGAAAAACCATATTTAAAAATAGTACAAAAAGCTACTTAGGCCATTTAGGATGCTTTAAATGATTAAGGAATCATTTTGGGTAAGGATTAATTAAATCTTAAGTTTAAGTTTGAGTGATGCAATCCTGAAAATGGCAGTTGGGACAGAAAGTTTCTCATGAATTTCACTTTGGACTGATTTGAAAGTTTCTCAAGAATTATATTATATATATTTTGAGGCATGGAAACCAGTCTGATCCAGTATATAGTGCAAGTATATTGTGCGTGCAAGATCCTGCACAATATAAAAACGAGAACAGATCTCTCCCTTGGTGAACTCGAGTGAGCCAGTTGAGTGACCAACCACACTGCTTGGAACAGCCTGTGAGGTCCGGTGGCAACCTGGAACGGCAACGGGAGACCCTGGGGGAGCGGAAGAACGATCCAGTAAGGCTGAAAGAGGTTCCTGGAACAAAGAAGAACAAGTTAGAAGGGAGCCGGAGTGTTTTTCGGCGTATCCCTTCCGACGATCTAGTCAGTCTTTGAGAAAGAGAGAGGAAGGAGAAAACACTGAGTGTGTATTGTAGTAAAGAGTTTTTTGTTGCATATCCGTCTTGCCTTTTACAAGGAGTATTTATACCTCAAAAGCTCATGATTGCTGTCAGTGTAGTCAGTAGGTGATCATTAGGTGCAGACAGTGTGCGCACTGATTCTGATGAGGAATGTTTTTTCTTCTTAACTGCTCGGGGTCCCGAGCAATCAATGCTGTGTCATCTGGATGCCGACGGTACAATGTACTCCTCTCGGGGAGGATGCAATAAATGCTCTGTATTAGGAGCATTTATTGTCTTTCATTTCCGAGCCTTACCGCATTGAATGCGGTCTCATCAAGGGAATGATGTAATTAATAGTTTGCTTTCCCAAGTCGCGTGTCAGTAACGGCATGCGGTTTCTCTGTCTTCGATGTGATATCATACGCCACGCGTCCATCCCCTATTGGCTGTGACCCCTGCATTCTAATACGTTCTGACACTAATTGTGTAAGACGAGGTCATGATGAATAGCCTAGGCTAATGACCTGTACGTCAATAGCTTATCCTGGAGTAGAGGAAGTGTCCAGGACGGGGTACCTCTCGGCACCGAGGAAAGGCTCACCTCGGAACCGAGGGAGGTATGCCGACCGAGGTACCATATCAGACCGAGGCCACGTGTCAGTTGTAAAACATACAGAATGCATGATCCTATATGACGAGTACCTCGGAGGCGAGGACCTTTATGCACCGATGACGCTTGATCTTAGCAACAGTGTTTTGGTAATACCGAAAACACATGTCTTCATCATGAAACATTTCAGAAAATCCCATCATATATCTTGACTTGATTAACAACTAACATGTTTTTATACTGTTGGGCTATGATTTTGACATTCACTAGCAACAGTTATCATAGTAGGGCCTCATTCTTTAGAGGATTCTATAATAAAATTTTGACAATCCACACAAGTAATCTAGTGGTGGAGAATTAGCTTGATGTAAATTATAACATTGACCGGTTGACGTATATGCTAAATAAATTCTCGCTGGTGACCTCCGGATTAAACAAAATCCAATTCAGTCGTTGGATTGCCATATAAGATTCATACTTGCCGTTGGTACCTAGAAAAATTGAACACAAATTGAAGAGTATTGCTTGGTTTCTTATTCCTTTGATTTCTTAGGACAATTATGACACACAAAGCAGAATGACCTTGATCTAAAAAAAATCTAGAAGGTCCTCAAAGAGCAAGAAAAAACGAAAATAATATTATTTAAACCAAAGTTAATCCACGACTGATGTGAATTAGGGTAATAAATCTTATCAACACATTACGTCTAAGTAATATTACTCTTTAAATTTCTAAATAAACATGAGCTAAAGCATTTCATTTTTTAAGACATTGATGAGTAGTTAACTTAAATAAACATGCAACCACCAATTTACTTATTGAATATATAATCCATCTTATCTCTCAATTAACCAGTTGCTTTAAATTAAACCACCCATAAAATTACATCTCAACCGACTGCTTAGAGTTTCTCTTTATGCACTCTTTCAATTGATTGAGGAAAATAGCTTTATTTTGCATTCATGTTCTATAAATGTCTGGTTGGTAGACACCTACATCAAGTTAATTTGTTGTTCTTCTAACTACTTTGATTGCTTTGCCCTTTTGTTGTTCCTTGCAAACAAAGCAACAATTGCTTGTACCTGTGTTCTTGGTACAACTGAAACTTCAGTAAACTTACAGAAGATTTTATAGACAATTTTTTTAGGATTGCTGCTTATAAAAGGGTACCCTGAATGACAGATTCTTGTTGAGAATCTCGGAATTGCTATTCATCGATTGGCTCCAAGCAATCGATTTATCCAAACATTTAACCAAAGTAGGTTGAGGTCATTGGATATTGTATAACTTGAATTAAAGATCTAGGAATCAGGGGATACAATACCCCTTTATGTCATTGATGCGAAAACATCAAACAATGTTCTACTTGGGCAGCTTTGGATGCATGAGAAAATATCATATGCCTCGAAACTTCTTTAGTCAAGTTTTTGTGCTATAGTGCATAGTTTAGTATTTTTATTATAGTTTTCCTAATGGAACATGTTATTTGTATCTAGTTCCCGACTTAGTTCATTATATCTAAAATTAAGTCCACATAGCATTGTTCTCAGTAATTTACACATCAAGAGAAGGGTACTGCTGGTATATTTATCAAGGACTTTTTACCCCCTTAGTTTTTAGGGTTTTTGAACTGATAAGTGTGCCTGAACACTCCCACACACAGGATATATACCCTTTGAAAATAGTATAGAAAGGAATCAAGAGGTGGAATCTTTTGACATTGTATGGGAGTTTGAAATGAGACAGGTGGGAATAGAAGAATACAAAGAGAATGGAAGCTGTCAAAGAAAGCATCTAAAAAGCACTGAAGTTTAAACTATTCCTCTACTGGTAGAAGCAGCAAAAGTAAAACTAACAGCTTCTTTCTTCCGCTTTTTAAAATGTTACCAAGTAGATTAGTAGTAGTACCAACACTACAATTAGCAAGTCGCTATTCGACAAATTAAAGTTTGGTGTTTATTGGGATAATAGCCTATACTTTCACTTGAAGGCGACAAACAACATTGATTTGTGCAGTTCCCGTCAATGTTAGAAACAATTGTTTTTCTTTTTTGAGGTACCAAGTACCAACTAAGAAGCACCCACCCAGCAAAGCACTGAATGAAACACCAAAAGAGAGACCATAAAACTTGGGCCACCCTTTTGTTTAAATAATAGAAAATATTCAAATTTTAAATCTGGTTTCATGATTGAGTCTTTGGATCTATTCTTTTCTAATTGGGGGTTTGAAGGATTGGATTCATCAAATCGGTCTTGCTGACTAGTTAAGATTGGGACGGTTCAACAAATTAATTATATCTTTTTTCATATCACAAACTATGGATTCCGATTTCCTTCGATACTAATTTTCTTCAGTTCTCTTCCTCTTATATGCGTGTCTAGCTTATTCCCTAAAGAGAACCGCTAAATGATGAGAACCAAGTTTAGATCTTATACATTGTAAGGACTAATCTTTATTCATCACATTAACCTTAATTTGACGAGTTTTGATCGTCCTAATGTGAGATAACTTAGGTTGTATTAATGGAGACTATCATCATGAGTTCTACTTGATCTCATTTTAAGTGATTTAACATTGAAAAAATTGAAAAAATAAATATATTGTAAATATTTCAAATTTTGGGGTTGGCTAAAAAATGTGTGTGGTGGTGGTGTGGGGACTTGGGCATTGGGTAAAAGAGTGGGGGCTTTGCCAGCCTTTTCCATCACGCCTGCAGAATCTACTGGATATTCCGGGGGAATTGTGTTAAATGTATATTGGCATGCTCCATTGTCGACCCTCTATATTTCAACTTTTCACCTTTTTGGACCTCTCTCTCTCTTTCATCTTCTTCATCCTTTTTAGTACTGCACATTGTTCTTCTTAGACCTACACCAATGCGATCAAACATTGGTACTAGCATCAGCCAAAAAAAAAAAAAAACATTGGTACTAGCATCTCCAATCCATGACTACGTTGGGCAGTCAAAATCTACCGAGTATTAGGTTTTGGTTACGATGGTGTAAAAAATCAAAAAGTGAGAGATGGATGACCTAGATAAATTCAAAATAAGGTGTGTTAAGTGTGTGAATCGAAACAAATAAAGAATACACAAAAACTTAAATGGTTTGCTTAACTGAAGAGTTGGATTAGTCATTTGAAATGGAGACTCTTACTTTTTAATTGTGTGTTGCTTGGAAAAAAAATAAAAAAAACGAATACAATAGTATTTTTTCTCTCTCAATTTGGTAACGTCTACGAAAATTTAAGGTTGATTTGTTTCATGTTAAGTTAACTTGAAGTGATTGAGATGATTAACATAACCGTCAACTTAAAAAAATTTTTTTGGTATCATCAGTGTCGTACTAAGCAAAATATTGCATACTTCTTTTATCGAGAGTGCTACCAGATTACAAAAATGGAACAAATACCAAATTGCAAAAAGATTGTGTGTTTGAAATTAAGCCTTGTCCCATGAAACTTTGCTCTGATACCATGTTGAACAATCTAAAAAATACAAGAGATAAGAAAATAGGAGGTTAGTGTTTTATTGATACTGCATAATTGAATTGAAATACAATGAAGTAATTTAACCTAAATACAAAGAGATTATATATAAGTTAAACAAGACAGAGAAAATAAAAGATTATTCTACTCTTAATAAACAAAATAACCCTATATTTCTTAACACTGCTAATGTTAAAGCTAATAGCATGCTTTTACAAATTCACCTCTAAGTTTGGCTGCGAAAGATGGGGTTTTAGTCTTCATTAGTTTTTGATGCACGAATTTGTGAAGATTCAACTTAAATACGCCAATATTAATAAGTAAATTGGTTTAGTGCTGGTCATTTCAAACAGATAAAAAAAACAAATTAGATTATCCATCCTTCAACTTTTTATCGTACCAAACAAGGATGAGATTGTTTATCACTTTGACTTGAATCCAAAATTACAAGATGACAGCCACAAACAACCAATTATTATACCTGGGTAATGTTTTTGGCAAATAGAGAAGGGCACAGTGCCTTCAATGAAGTCATCATAGCTTGACAACCCTTCGACGAATATTTTTTTCTCGGCATGAATGACTTACTTTTGACCGGATTAAAAAAAAAATTAATTGAGTTACGTATAAATTAGTTCAAATATTTTTGATTATCTATATAATAAAATATAATACAATTTAAATCTTAAACGATAATTAAAATAATTTTTATTTTTTGTGATTAAAATCTTTTTAAATTTTACTTTAAAATTAATATGACGTTAATATTAACACCTCAAATTTAATAAGAAAAATAAACTTATAAGAGTGTGTTTGAAGTGAGTTTTTAAAAATACTTTTATTCTATCTATAATATAAAACAAGGTAAGTTTCAATAAGTACATCCAATGATTTCAAATAGATTCATTTGACGCTATCAATATTTCTATCAAAATCATTCACGTTGATTTATGTTATATCATGCCTTCAAGCACACGGATAACCTATAATATAATGAATTTTTATACCTTACATATTTTTCTGTCTAAAAAATCACATTACCTATTTCTATCACATTTTTAATCATTTAATATTTGGTTAATTTATAGTTTAACATAATTTTTATTTCAAATATTATTCTTACACGATAGTATACATATGTTAAAAAAATTTAATATACTGAAATTATTGTTTTAAGTGTTCGAATTTTATGTAATTAAAAAAAAAAGCCATCATTATATGAGACTTCCCGAGATAGGACCTATATCATTAAAGAGGAAATGACTAAACAACCACTAGGGGGGGGATCTATTATACTTAAATGCGATATATTTGATGAGCAGAGCATTAATTTGCATTTGTTGTTGTCCTAATTTTATTTTCTTTTATTTTACTGTATTTTGTGAGTGTGTGTGTGTGTGTGGGACAAATCAAATTCAAATACCACAATCAAGGAGTTTAATAATATTATCTTTAAGACAACTTTTGAGCCACGGCGTCATTAATAAGCTTGAATATGGGTAGTATTCAAATGTAACCTTAAATGTATCATCATCACCTTCCTCCAATTTCCAATTATTGCCTTTTTTTTTAATACACCTGGATCAGTTGCCTCAATGAAGACCTGTATTGTAGTTTTTTTGCGAAAAAGTTTTTTTTTCTATAAGAAATTTATGGTACCCAACCACTAAATTCAACCCAAATGATAGTATAAGTGGTAATAGAGACAATGTATAAACTCAGATGTCTTAAATTTGAATAATGACAATTCTTTGGGATCAGGCCACGGGAGATTTATCTCTTATAAATATACTAATTTCAACGTGAATAACTTATATATTTGACTAAATTAAATAAAAAATTAATCAAAATTCACGTAAATTATCCTCAATATCCGTTGAACCCAAAATGATGTTATGCCATGGAATTGGAAACCATTGGAATCCCAACTCAGCCAAGAGAGGTTGTGCCACTGGCTAAACTTGGATTTGAAATCATGGGCTTTAAATTTTCAAAGCCCAGATGTATTAGTGGGCCTTTTCATTAACTCTCTGGATCAGACTTTGGCCCACCATCCAGTTAGGCCTGGACCAACTTTTAATCGGCTTAAGTCAAATTGGACTCAGCCATATTGTATAGCGAAGTGGTTAACCACAGTTGCTGACAAGACTCGCAACCATGGAATCACCACCGCAACCACCACCACCACCAGTATCTCCGTCTCTCCTCCGTCGTCTAATCCACCTCGACACCACCGTCTCTCTCCACCTCTACACTCTGACGCAACCCATCCTCCCGTACACCCTCCTCAAAACCTTGGAACTCTCCGGTGATGGGCGATTCTTCTTCCCCTTGACCCTCTCCCTCCTTCTCTCTCCTCTCTCCACCACCCAATTTCCCTTCATCCTCAACCTCCTCCTTGGCCTTCTCTTAGACCTCCTCGTAATCGGCCTCCTCAAACACCTCGTCCGCCGTCCTCGACCCGTCTACAATAAAAACATGTTCCTCACTTTCTCCGTCGACCATTGGTCCTTCCCCAGTGGCCACTCCTCTAGAGTTTTCTACATTGCCACTTTCATATTCCTAAATTCGAAATTCGTCGAAGAGGTTTTGATTCAATTGAGGTCTAATCGTGTTGGTGGGTATTTTTCAAATGAATGGATAAGCAAAAATTTGTTCTATTTGAATGATGAGGTTAAAATGGTGAATTATATTGTTGCCATTGTTGGGTTGTGGGCTATGTCGACATCAGTCTCTAGGGTTCTTCTGGGGCGGCATTTCGTGTTTGATGTGGTTGCTGGTGCGTGCTTGGGTGTTGCTGAAGCTCTGATTGTGTTTCAGGTTTTCAATTATGAGACCTTGAGATCGGTTTTGTGGTGATGAACTGTGAGTACCTCTGGCAAATTTATATGATTCTTACTGTAACAAATTTTATACAATTTTCATTTGGCAACTTGTAGTTGTCTTGGGCTTCAGAAAGTTCCATATGCTGTCAATTACAGTGTTATCTAATTAATGCTATATCTGGTCAAAATTTGGGTGCGAAGCTAGATTATGGTTAATGGTGAATCTGAAGAAAAGATACATACTGGAGTTCTGGGGTGACAATAATATTTGGCAAACATAAGCAATTGAGGATCGACTCTTCCTGAAAAAAAACATAAAAAAACAGATCATGAGGAAAACTGTTGTGACTAATCTGATTCATATTATGTTTGCAGGCCTAGCCCTTTTTGGGATGGAAATTGGGCGACAAGGTTGCAACTGCACGATATGCTCAATAATCCACATCTAAAATTAAGGAAAGCCTCATGGAATCTTGCCCTTATCAAATCTGTGCTTGTGAATATGTTTGGAGGAAGACAGGAACTTGTAACTGATTGGATAAACTTGGGTAACAATAGGAGCCATTGGGCTACACACATGTTCATGGCTGTTAATCTTAGTTTACTACATGCTAGTGAGCGCATATTGTTATAATGTCTTGACTAGTTGTGCTTATTTCACAGTTACTTATATCAATTGATTTATTTTTTGGAATTAATGCTGCAAGGGAATCTACCATCTGGGAATTTTGAACTTGAATCATACAGTGTGTGCATAAACTTCTACCCTTCTATTGAGGTTGTTTAGACATTAGTTACATTGAGAGAAAATTAACTAAGATGGCTTAATCATAAGCATAAAACGAATTTAGGAAGAGTCACAGGGCATACATAGACTATAAGTATAATGCATGGGAAAAGAGAAGAGAGAATTTGATGTGGGTTATATTGAGAAGGCAAGATATGGTAGCATCAAATTAGTAGTCGAAATGAGGATGTTGAGAATAATATGCTGTAAGAAATTAAATTGGGTATAATCACTGTTAGTAGTAATGTTAGGGGAATGAAAAGACTGTAACATGCATTGAGGAAGTGAAGAAGGATATGATTACTTTGCTAAGTTAACTGAATATACAGCCCTTCACATAAACGAAATGTCATAAGAGATTCATATATCCAACCTCAGATAATTGGGCCAAGGTTTTTGATGCTCATCTATTGAAGCTAAAAATAAAATTTGGAAAAAGCCAAAAGTAGATAGCCCTATCATTTGATATTTGTATAACACTTGCCTTAATCAATTAGTGATAAGCTTCCTGATAAGATGTTGTTTGATTGATTGATTGCTATGCTTCACTTGACTAAAGTGAAGATAACTCAATTTGGTTAGTTTGACAATGACTTTTGTTATTTCCAAGCACCTCTCTTTTGAGCAACATGAAGCACGATAGTAAAGTAGAGGTTTCATACCTTTGTCCATGAATTGAATTGACATGTGGGGCGGGTAGCTTGTGGCATCAAGAGGACCAAAACTATCTCAAATCTGTGTGTTTGATTGTTGGATCAGAGAAGAGCTAAAACTCTCAAAGTACATGTCCTACAACAGGGCATATCGTTATCATTATCGTTTCCATGTTTATTTCTAATGTCTTTTACCATCCTGTCCCAATAACAAGGACTGAAGTATTGAATTTGTGGTTTTTCTTTGAGCCTGTCTATGTATCTTCTTGGTTGGTCCCCTAATCAACAGACTGTGGATGGTATTGTTGTCTTAAGGTGGTTTTCGTTTTTGCTATGCACTGATTAGTTTGTCAATTGGTAGGGCACTCTACAATAGTGCTTTTCATCTTCACTTTTTTATAACCATTTTCATCTTCAATTGGTAGGGCACTCTAAATCAACTAGGGTTGACTGATTTGAACTTGGCCACCTTATATTGTTTAGGGTCTGTATCATCATTGCTCAATGTTTATACGTCAAGGAAGGCCAGATGCGTGGAATCCATTTTGAGATAGTGCTTTTGGAACTCCCTTGACATAGATTGTATTGCCAGCAATAATGCAAGGAAATACTATTCTCACTTTCTTTTTCGACTGTGTTCATTCCATCAAATGAAAATTACACAAAGAAACTAGAGTGCTGCCATGAAAAGAAGAATTTAAACAATACTTCTTCAAGTACATTTATTTCAACAATATTTTACTTGCCCACTATTGATTGGAGATGGAGAGATGGAAAAGGATGAAACTGGTAAAGTATTTGAATCCCCATGGGTGAGACACAGTGGGCGCTCGTTATCCTCAAAAAAAAAAAACTGTCAAATCATATATTTTTAACCTCGTGTAGGGTCATCACCGGAAAACCCTGGTATCGGTCACCATGAAAATAACGAGATGCTTTTCTTCTGCTTTGCTGTATCTTTGATCCCTTCTCAAACCTTGGAGTATTGTAATAATGGCCATTTGGTCATAAGACGACTAGGTAAAGTCAAGATCCACAGAAGAACAATGTTTGTCTCTACCCACTTCAAATTATTACCCTAGATATGCAAGATAAAGTTGGATGTACTAGAGTTGAACCCTGATCATCCTGTGCCCGCTGCTATCATTGGTCATGCCCTCAACCTGTTTGATATTTGGACTGGCCGAAAAGCTGAGCTCCTGAATTATAGTCTTGGTCATACCCATATGGTTAAAGACCTTACTTTGGATAACTACGTAGCAGAGAAGCCTGAGGTGGCTGATACTGAGCTTTGTCTCACCCATCAATGCTAGTTTGTGTGGGTAATCCGGACTCGTGGTGCAAACATCTGGTGCTTCATGGTTGTGCCAGTGTGATTTTTGGTTTGTTCTGGCCATTGCCATTGTAACTTTGAACTGAATTTTGGACTTACAAACTAATTAGCTTAGAATGGATACCCTTTGACAGCAAAAGGACAACTGCACCAATAGTATGAGGAGGATTGGATTTACCTGTCTATGTTTTACCAATTTGCTCAGTTTATGACTGCCACATATAACATGGGCAGTCCTGTTATAGGTGAGAAGGAAAAAGAGGACCGACAACATTGAAAGAGATATATTTGAGGAGGTCAGGACAGATTGCCACAGAGAGTCCTGTCGTATTACCCCGCCAGTTATGATTCAGAAATGTAAGGCAGGTGCTTCTTTTTTTGTTTTTATGAAGGCTAATTTTGTTGCTTCTTCGTTTGTTTTCAGCACCCATTGTTATTTACTTTTCGAATCTTTGATTATTTTTTAAAAGCCTTTTTTTTAATAGAAGAATGAGTTCTACTTCTTTTGTTTGGCCTTTTGAATGAAAGATTTTACGTAAACACTAACCGTGACATTGCAAGGCATGTTGTTATAATCCTAATTGTTCCAGACTGGTCAAATATGGACCTTAGACCGTGTACATGGGGGGTTTTGGAAACTGTTTGAGTCGAGTCGAGGGCTGCGGCTCTCAAGTCACCGTTACGAAAGGACAGGTTGCCACGGACAGTAGTCATGGAAATGTAATGTCACAGTTAGGATCAGAAAACATGTAAATGATGCACTAATTTCAGAGCTTCCCATAAATTTATGACCCCCTTCTCTCTTATTGCCTTGGTTTGATATAAATTTGAAATGATAGAAAGCATGGATAAAATGCCCCGTGCATACAGGACATGAGGAGCTGTTGGGAGCAACTGGAATATGATGATGACCCTTGGAGTTGTAAGATAACTTTGCCTGCTGGGAAACATTTTCATCGTTTAGTACTTCTGAAACATGGAGTACTTGATGGGCGGTTGTTGGTTTCTCTTCTACTTTTGACCTACCTTCTTGATCATGCATGACAAGTTTGAAGATAGCCATTTTTGCTAAGAAAAACCCATTTTTCGTTCACAATCATGTAAGAAGATATCAGTTTAGAAAAACAAAATGGAATTATGTACCAAGATAGTTGTAAGCATTTGATACCACCCCTCTTGGGTGTCCATGAGAAACCAAATTTAGAGCGACGACAAATATTTGTACCTACACATTACAGTAAGATCTACTTACCGAAAGAAAAATACATTATAATAATATTTTTTACTACTTATCATTTGAAACCTTTATAAGAGAGAGATTTGTAAACTATGTATAATCCTATAGTACTATCAATTTATTCGATTGTAAAGAGATATTTTGTATTTGTGATGCAATCAGACGAATATTTTTTGTCATATAACTATTCTAAATATTGTACGGTTTGTAAAAGTCGAGAAAACAGTTAAGATAAGTCACGAGAATGATAATTTTGGTTCAACTTAGTCTAAATGTCTAATGCTTAAGGCAAGAGATAATCCTCATGCATTTGGAGGGTTTGGATGGATTATTTTCACTCTCTAGGAGGAAATTTGTCAAAAAAGGTCAATACATAAACACAGGGCTAGTAGCCAACATGCAACAACACATAAATAATGGATCCATCTGAATATAGGGAAGTTAAAAAACTTCGACCACATGATCATTCCACAAATTGTCGTTTTTATGCTTGCTAATTGTTTTATGTTGTTCCGGTTCTTTTTATTTTGAAAAATATAGACCTAATTTGTTGATCTAATGCATGCTAGTTATTAAATTGATAGTGTGTTTCAACTGATAGTAGAGTCTAGTGTCTATCCAATAATGGTAAATAATTTTGTTAATAAAAAAAATCAACAAATTAAGTTTGAATAGCATTTCTCTTAAAAAGTTGACAAAACTACAGTGGAAAATGAATTTTCCAATTTCTTATCACTTATGTGGATAGTCTCCCATATATACCATCAATAATTGATTGTACTCAAGTTTTTTGGCATTATTTCTTTATACATGCCGTGAAGTATGAGATTGATAACCCTAGAGATCAGTTCCTCTTGCGAGGGTAGGTCAAGGGTTCGAATATCTCACAAAATATAGTTGTTTTAGATAATCATTCAGAGATTTACCTTTTTTTTTTAGAGAGACAGTTTTGCACAAAGTGTAGCATTAGTCCAACATGTCAGTGAAATAATACTGCAATAATCTACCGAAAAAGTTGAAATATCAAAAAAAAAAAAAGGTATGAGATTGATTAAACTTAATTTTTGGTGTCATTGTCTTCTATTTGTAGTTGTAAAGCGACTTTGGTCTTCGTCATGTGACAACTATTTTTGCCTTCTAAGGTGATTGTTGGGAAGAGACTTGTGATTAGGACTAAGTCAAGTTTTTGGTGGACCCAAATGTAGTAGTAGCGCATGAGCTCATTTTTAGCTTGCACTTAAATTTGAATAAAAAATTTAATGAATAAATTCAAATTTAAATGAATAAAAATTTAAATTTACAAAAAGATAGAATATAATCATTGAATTTTTAAAAAATGATAAAATCTAATTATTCTCAATTTAAATAAAAATTTAAGTCTCATTGATTTGAGTAAAATTTAATTTGATATGAGTTTGAATAATCGACTAAAAATTAATTTTAAATTTAAATAAGAATTAAAGATCCTCTGATACGACAATTTAACACACAGAAAAAGCACACGAGTAGAAGTTAAGAGGTAGTTTTGGTCTCACAAAGAACTGACACCATTATTTTTGGATGTGGGGGGGGGGGGGGGGTCTATAATTCGATTTGCCAAGCCAATTTGTCTTTTATTATAAACTTGGGTGGAGGTTTTTATTCTGTGCTTCACTGGTTTATATCATTAAGGTATGACCTATATGCCGGGCTGACCCATCCGATGGCAGGACAGTCCACTATCTGTCCATCAACTCGTTCCTACTTGATCTATCTTTTTTGGTTTTTGTTTTTGTTTTCAGATATGATTTGAACTTTTTTCATTCTGTTTGCTGGCTGATGGGTCGGGCGATGCATCGGATTCTTAATTAGTCACGAGCTTAAAGAACAAATAATTAAATGTAAATTTTTGTTTTTGTCATTGGAAAAGGGGGCCCAGCACCTGTTCTCCATCTTGCTGGATCAAAATGGATTGGTTAGATTTTCGATTGGGTTGTTGAATTGTACCTAACGAAGGTCATATATTCCCATGTTAAGGCATTGATTACCATAGAGAAAATTAAGGAGCATCCTATGCTTTAGTATGCTTAACTATCACGGCATTACCTAAGAAATATTGACGTACAAGTAAAATCTAACTGCCCATAAAGAGACCTCAAGTGTCACTCACTGTAATGGACACACTTGCATTATGCAGTAAATGCTACTTAAAAGTCTTCTAAGTTCTGGTTCATTGCTTTTCATCAGCGACCACCGTTGTTCCATTTGTTCAAACACTTGGCCTACTCTCCACATTCTAGTTCTTTCTATTTACAGTTCAATACACTCTCAGCCATCCTCGCTGCCATTACCCCTCTCTCTCTCTTTACAGTGACCGGTCGTGAGAGAAAATGGAGTTGTCTCAGTACCAAACTCGTTTTCAATGGTTTTCATATTCGATCCAGTAATTTAGTCAGCATACCATTACTCTAAAAAACTCCTTATTTTTCTAGTTCGTCAAAATCTCTCTCTCTCTCGAATCTCAGTTTGAGAGCTTGCTCAGGTCTGTCTCCACACCCCAAGACCCTCTTTCTCCTCTCTTTTCTTCAAAAACAATACATCCCTTAATCTCCAAATCTCATTTCACACACACACATATAGGTATGCATAGTTACATACACAATATACTTACAAATTTTATATATTTGTATATGATAAATTCTTGGGTTGTCTTGGTTTTTTTGCAATGAGTTTTGAGGGGCTTCAATGCTTATTTTGATTCACTCTGCCGTGTATTGTAAAAAGCTGAAATCAGAATGCGAGTAAAGGAACTGCACCCGTTGTGTTGTATATCGTTGGAGAGCCCAACGATCGGAAACCACTCACCGGAGCCGACTCTATTGAGAACAGGATCTATTACAATGATCTCCAGCGGATCTGACGTTATTGCCGGACGATCCGACATCAGCTTCGCCGGAATCCTCTACAAATGGACCAATTACAGCAAGGGATGGAGATCCAGATGGTTTATGTTGCGTGATGGAGTCCTCTCCTACTCCAAGATTCGCCGTCCGGGAAGTCTGACTCTTTCTCCGACAGGAGACGACGTAACGCTCATCGGCCACCTGTCCTCCGACTGGCTCTCGCGTCTTAACAGTTATGGAAGACGTAATAAGCACCAGAAACTGGTTGGCAGTGTTCATCTAAAGGTATGTTTTTGTGCACCAGAGAGAGAAAGAGGGGAATTAACCAAATCGTTCTGGTGGTAATAGGATACGTCGAATCTTAGTACTTACTTAAATAATATTTTAAAAAAAAATGTTTTAATATTTTAATTTTGATAACGGGATACGTCCAATTTCCTACTCTTTCTCTCTCTCTCCCTCCCCCCGTGTCATATATGCTCCTTATTATATGTTTTGTATATAATATTTCCTCTCTTGCCATCACATGGTTATAAGCTTTGGATTTACATTTTAGCCAGTGGTCCCATCCTCGTTTTTTTTTAACAAATTTTCTCATTTAAAAAATTATCAAAATTTAAATGTGCGAATTTACTTGATCGGATTTTTTAATCCTCAGATAGTCATCTTTCTTGGTTTTTTCTTCTGTGGAGTTTGGTTGGTTTCACCTCTTACTCAGTTGTCAAGTCAGTCAGTCAGGCAGGTTCCTTTTTCCGATCTTGTGTTTGGTTATTCATCCTTATGGATAAGTCTCATCATGCGATTTGTTCTGATTGAATAACATCATAATATGCGTAATTATTCTTATCATTATTAAATAATCATGAAATAAAGACGATGCTCCTTATTTAATTATATATATAGTTATGAGAACAACCGTTGCTGTGAGTGACACGATCCAACGGTAGATCTAATCTCTGTATGTGTGAATAGCCATTGGTGAATAGCTTGACTTAAGAATATATCTTAGGGTGTTGAGTGCTTAGGAAACTGGGAAACAATAATATTCTTGCCTTTTTCTGGTATATTCCCAAACCATAGCTACTCTTCCTTGTAAAATACAATAGTTGACTCCAATTCTATGTTTCTCTGTGGCTCCTATAGTCCTATTAACCAAAAGAATTTGCGATTCTTGTTCATGTCTTATCGTCATCCCCAAACTGTATTTACCAGCTACTTGGTTATCTCATGGCGTTCGAGGGTTTGGACCTACATGGGCTTTTTGCCGGTCACCTGAGAATAAACACATTCAGGTTAATGGTTTTGATTCTGGGTATGTTTATTCTCTTGAGTGCATTGGAGCTATTAATTTGCCTCGTTATAGGAAAATTATAACTTTTCAGACTACGGTAATGATTGTTTTGCGCAGTTGTTTGGATTACTGCTTCAATATTACATTGATTTTTTAAATTTATGGTATCATATTGCTGCTCCTATTGCATTACCGTAGTAAAACATTGATTTGATTGTGTACAGATATGGCTAATTTGAGGTTGTCGCAACCTTTGATTCTGGGCTGAAATCTTTCACCGTTTTGGATTTCCTCGCAGATCTCATCTTTTCGAGAGAGCAATTCGGACGATAGGCGGTTTTACATATTTACTGCTACAAAGACACTTCAGCTGAGGACTAATTCAAAGCAAGAAAGGGAGGCCTGGATAGAAGCTTTGGTTTCTACAAGAAGTCTTTTTTCATTGAGACCATTGAATGCTAATCTCTCCCTTGTACGGAAACATATATCTCTATCAACTGCGAGGCTAAAGAAACGATTGCTTGAAGAGGGTATCAGTGATGTACTTGTTAACGACTGCGAGCAGATCATGCTCTCAGAATTTTCAGAAATACAAGGTCAATTCAATGTTCTTTGCAACGAGCGCTCTAATTTGCTTGACACATTAAGACAGTTGGAGGTAACTTTTTAAGTAGTTAGGGTGTGGAAATGCATGAAACCTCTTTGTGGATTTATTGCTTTAATTGGCAGTTTTTCCCTTTATGTGGTTCAATGGTTGATTTTTTCTACATTACAAAGTTTGATTGATCACTGGACTTGAGACATTGTTGCTACTAATGTGACATAATAAGTGGTGCAGTTCTCATATTTAATCCATAGGAAGCCTTAATCCTCCCAATTTTTCGTATTAAATTATTGCTATTCATGTTGTTTTGTCTAGTGTGGACTGGCATTCTATTTAGTGTTCCTCTTATCCTTGCAATGCGATTTACTTCAAACCAGTTTTTCAAAGAGGTGGCATTGTCGGTACTTACACATGAACTAATCATCTTATCCAATTCAGCAACACATTTCGACCTCAAGTGATCGGCCCTGTATATACTCGAGCCAGGACGAATTCGCTCTGCATCTTCTTCTTGCCAGTCAATCATCTCAACTTCTTCATCTTGCCACCCAATAATCAATCTAAAGCCTTAATCCTCCGAATGTGTTCCATTTTTTTTATTTTTTGGTCATTTCCCAATGTGTTCTACTAAGCTGAACAAGTTCATGTTGTTTTGTCTAGTGTGGACTGGCATTCTATCTAGTGTTCCTCTTATCCCTCCAATGCATTTTACACTGTAGAAATTTCTGAAGTGGCGGCATTGTTGGTCCTTACACTTGAACAAACCATCTTATCCAATTCAGCAATGCATTTTGACCTCAAGTGGTTGGACTGTATATTCTCGAGTCTGGAATGAAATTGTTGTTCATCTTGTGGTGAATATGGTATGGTAGAAGGTATTGATGAACCTACAAAAGTTTTTAGGTCTTTAGAAAGAAAACGGATTTTTCTACTGGCCATTAGAGGGATTAACAGGTGTTAGTAGGTCCTTGATACTACTGAGCATGTCACCCTTCTTTGCCGCAGTTATTAGCCACAGGAATGTATGGTATTGTGGCCTGCAAATTCTTTGTTTAGCTAGACCAGTAGAGGTGATACTGCTGTCAAAATGGTTGATCTGGTTAGATGACATGGCTTCCAATTTATTAATACGAGATTTGGAAGTGAGATCAGTGTGGCTTCTAAATGTTGTATGTAACATTTGATTGGCAGTTCAATTTGTTTATAGTTCTATATATCTGAATGGTTCCTTGATTTTGTAACTTACAGCATCCCTATGGTTAAAATGAGCTCTTAATTTCAATCAACTTCACCTTTTGATTGTGCAGGCGGCTAATATTGAAGTTGAAGCCTCTGGAGTTCATGATGGTGGATACCGATTGACGAAGCATGGATTTTCAAATCTAGGGCATGGGAAATATAGCGGTACATAACATGTGTTCCTCTCTTTCTCGCTCCACCCCCCCTCCCAATCTCACATACGTGAAGAAATAAAAACACGAATCCAACCCAATGGTCTCAATTATTTTGGACAAACTACATTCTATTAGTTTCATCATCCAACTATCTAGAACATATATCCGTGTTTGAGGTACAACATCTATTCTTATAATCTTAATCCAAACATCTAAACCAGGTTGTTCGTGGATATTACCATTTATTTCTTCAAAATCTCACTCAGCTTATTCACATGTCACCTGCATTTGACTTGATGTAGCTAGCATGAATTCTAATTTCTTTTGGGTTTCTTGCTTCAATTTTCAGAATGCGGCACAACTGAGTCATCTGATGATGTTGAGAAGCAAGAGCTTGAAGAAGTTTCAGATGAAGAGGAATCTTGCTTCTTTGAGACAAAAGAATATTTTTCTGAATCAACTATTAGTTGGGGGTCTCTAGGTGCTGATCACATGCATAAGTGTGTGGACCTGGAAAATCAAACTGATCATATGAATGAAATGAATGCTAAGAAGGATCTTGTTGAGACAAGGTACCCACAAATTGAAAGGCGAAAGAAGCTTCCGGATCCAGTTGAGAAAGAAAAAGCGGTCAGTCTTTGGTCTGTTATCAAAGACAACATTGGAAAGGATCTCACACGCATCTGTCTTCCTGTGTACTTTAATGAGCCGATATCATCCCTCCAAAAATGTTTTGAAGACTTGGAGTACTCTTACCTTTTAGATCGGGCATATGCGCATGGAAAAGCGGTAGGGTCTGTATTCTGTATGCATTACCTCTTGTTCCTTTTGCTATAATCCAGAGTGGGTATTTTCTTACATGATCCCGTATTCATAAAAAAAAACTCCCTTGTTGCCTTCTGTCCTTCGTTTCTTTCTCATTTAGTTTGGCGAAAGTAAAAACTACCATTGATTTTTGAACCATGCTATACATGAGACAGGGCATACCCCTGGGTCGTATCTGAGTAATTGCTCAAATCTTTGAATGCTTCTTATGATCAGAACGATATTTTTAATGGTTCCTACGGGATTGCTAAATATACATGAAAAGTTGGAATTAGTTCATATTGTTTCACATTAGTTTTTTAGTGAGTCCTTTTACAATAATAATCAAATTTGTATTTCCTTTTTAATTTTCTAAATTTGGATAGTACTGTTTAATTGAATCTTATCATTATAAGATGTCAAAAAAAAAAAAAAACCATTCCTAATTTCTCTTGAGCATTATAGACTTATCTGCATTATGAATTTATGATGCTACCTACTTGTTTACATAATAAATTTACCTGATACTTCCTTTGATTGGTTCCTTTTGGAACTATTTATTAGTGTGTCTAATAGACTTTCTTGATTGATATTCCTTTGGGAGGTGAATCATTTTATTAATCTTAAAAAATGATATATAATAAAGTTCAAAACACGCCTGTGCTCATGAAGGTACACAGAACAATACTCAAAGAATTGGCTCCACCCATGGACCTAGTTTTTGTTTAAAATAATACCTAACAATCTGAGAGACTAGGTAAAATGTTATGTCAAGTTTAAGTGCTTGAATTTTTCAAATGTTAATTACATTACTATTACCTGTCTTCATATTGTTGTTTAGTTTTCACCAAACCTGAGAAAGACATGTCATTTTGCTTTGCTGGTATATGGGTTATCCTATAAGAATTTTTCATTTTATTGTTGGCCTTCCTGAACGTATGCTTGGAATTCTCACTACTATTTAGATAATTCCTCTAGATATATGATAGTCATATTTTTGTAACTCAACTTGATCTCATGGGGTCTTGTTATGATTCTGCTAGGAGAAAAGCCTTTTAAGAGTTTTGAATGTTGCCGCCTTTGCCGTCTCCGGATATGCCTCAACTGACGGTCGGCACTGCAAACCCTTCAATCCTTTGCTAGGGGAAACTTATGAAGCTGACTATCCTGAGAAAGGGATTCGCTTCTTCTCTGAAAAGGTGATTACCTGCCTGAAATAAGAGGATTATGTTGAATTTATGTTGTTGTCCAACAATTAGTTCCAGTTGGGATATGTAAAGTTTGTTCAACAAAACCCTACCCAAAGCCATCTGCGATATGTTCAGAGAGCTCAAGAGAATTATAATGAAAGACTTCAAAATGTCTGTTGTACTTGTGCACAACAAGGAATAGTTGAAAAAAGGAGACAAATTGGCAACATTTTGAACAATTTATTCCTTTAAAGCACCCAAGTTCCTTTTAACATACCCCAGAACTTCTTCTCTTGGCAAAGAAAACTCAGAACCTTAGGATAGACCAAAACATTGGAAAACCTATCTGTCATGACATTAAACCTTTCTAAAATAGGACAGTCTTGATTTGGCTGCAATTTCTGAGTATCCTTTAGATGACAAAAATACTCGAATCTTAACTAGAATGGTAGAAACAACAACTGTAAATCGTATGATATCTTTCCAAGGGCTAAATAATTAACCTAAATGGTTAAACATGCACAAAACACTCACATTTCTTGATCTGATTTTGATACGTATACACAGTCACATCAGTCAATATTTCGTATTGTTAGAGACATCTAATTCAAAATCAATTGTTAATGAGTTGAGAGGCACACAAGGCTCATATACTAGTTTGGGAAGTATTATTTTATAGATATGAGGCAAGCTCTAATCTCCCATGCATGTGTGGCACAAAATCGCACTTGAAGAGATAAACAAAAGAATCAAAAGACAAACTTGGAGAAATAAAAAGTGCATTTATGACTTAATCAAAGGGGTAATCAATTATGAAATCACTGAAATTGATTCTTCTCCAAACCTTCCCCTGGCAAGCTTTGATACCATGGTAGATGCATCCAACCTAAGTTCAATTGGCGATAATTGCCTATGCTTATCCCTGGGGATTAGTGTAATATCCTAATGATTTTGTAAATGCATGAAACAGGTTAGTCACCACCCGACTGTCATTGCCGGCCACAGTGAAGGTAAAGGGTGGAAATTCTGGGGAGATAGCAATCTGAAAACAAGATTTCGTGGGGGATCAATTCATCTTGACCCTGTTGGACCTCTAACCGTAGAGTTCGATGATGGTGAGATTTTCCAGTGGAGCAAGGTGTGCGGTGCCACATGGTTGTGATTGTGCATTATATAGATTTTAGATTGTTTAGATCTTACACGGTCCAATTTTATTTGTTTGATGACATTCTGAAACATGTTCATGTTGCTTTAGGTCACAACCACCATTTATAATCTTATACTTGGTAAAGTATACTGTGGCCACCATGGATTGATGCATATCCGTGGTAATCGCCAATATTCATGCAAAGTTAAGTTCAAAGAGCAGTCTATTATGGAACGAAATCCTCACCAGGTAAAATGACGGGATCATATTTTGTGTTTCATTTTTATCTTTCCTGGACATTTGATAATCCCCCACATTTGTGTGGGACCAGTAGCTGTACCACTATATATTGAAACATATTGTCTAGATTCATTTGAAAAATCACCTTTTTTACAGGTTCATGGATTTGTTGAAGATGTCGTGGGGAAAAAAGTTGCCACATTATTTGGGAAGTGGGATGATAGCATGTACTATGTGAATGGAGACAAGGTCGACAAGGTGAAGGACTTGTCTGATGCATCTTTGTTGTGGGAAAGGAGTAAGCCTCCTCCTAATCTCACTCGGTACAACTTGACGTCTTTTGCAATCACACTAAATGAACTCACGCCAGGACTGCAGGTAGAGCTGACAACTTGAATCAGTTTTCACATGCATTTTCATTGCTCTCGTCTGTACACCTAATGGTCTTTATATCTGTGTTTGATAACGGGTATTTGATCATGGATTAAGGAGAAACTCCCACCTACGGATTCAAGACTTAGACCGGACCAACGGTATTTGGAGAATGGAGAATATGACAAGGCAAATGAAGAGAAACTACGATTGGAGAGGCGGCAGAGGATGGTATGTCACACCCCTTCTGTGTTTCTCTAGTTATATGTTTATTCATGCTTAGTAGATTTGTTCACTGTATGATTATCAAGCTTAGAAACCCTGTACCGAAGCACAATTAGCATTCTTGTTTGGCTGCACTATGCATATGAAGTGTAGGTTGAAATAGCATGCAGATTTAAGGTTAGACCTTGGATGGGGCATGCTGATGAAGATACTGCTGTCTAATCAGTTGATGTTGGCATCTTGTGGATTGGGTCGGCAATCCTTCTTGTAGTGCTAGCTGCTAGCACATCTTTGCAATGGAAACGAAGTTGCAAAAACTAAAAACTTTGAAATGACAGACAATAAAGTAAATTTAAATCAACAGAACATCATTTCTAGTAAAGTTTTATCTAATATGCCATTGGTTTTCGAAAACTCCCGTTGCTGCTGCACTGTTGTGGTATTGGGCATGTTTGGAGTTGATTTTTTTAGGTGAAAAGCTACGGTTTGAAAGGTTTCGCAAAAAAGTTGAGTTAAAAAGTCCCCCAAACCGTTTGGGGTGTTTTTAAAAAAACTGGAAAAGTTGGAAAAATCCATTTGAAGTGATTTCTAGCTTTTTTTGGCTTTTTTGTGTAAAAAAATAATTACATATATGTATAGATTATACATAATAGTCCCTAATATGAATTTTAAATTTTTTTGTCATTAATAATATTCTATGAATATAATAAACTAAAAAGTTTTGTGGGACCCGCGACAAAATTTCAGAAAACCGAAAGAATAGCCTATATAAGCTTTTTTTGGGTTCAAAAAGTTGCTGTATAAGCTGGTAAAAAAACCGAGGTCCTTATTTTACTCCAAAGCCAATAAAATCAAACCTAGTTCAGCCAGTATTACAGGTTCTTTGTTCAATACACTTTCAAAACAGATGTTGCTAGATAACTTGGAAGTTCCATTTTTGGGAGATAGTTGAGTACTCAGACCTTGTGTCACCATTATTTTTTCAAAGTTATTTTGAAGTCAGAATATAATAATTATTAATACTACAAGCACTACTGGTGGCAGTTTCATGCAACTACTTGGGCACTTTTCCTTCCCAACGTTATTTTCCATTGAGACACTGGAGATGCAAACTTAATCCAATTTGAAACCTTGTTTACTGTAAAACATATAGCTTTACCACAGACAGTATGAAATAAAGAAGAATGGATGACATACAAAATGAGAGAGTCAAATAGGTAAACATCTTGATATTCAATATCACTGTTTGTGATCTTGTTGAATTCCTGATTCTTCATAGTGAATGATGCTGGAAGTTCTTTGTCATGACAAGTACTGATTCTTTCTTTTGTTTGCAGCAAAGGGCAAGAGAAGAAAATTTGAAATCTTTGATAATATAGTTGTTCCTATGTCAGAAGCTATGATACATCTTTTCTTCTGCCCATCATTAACTAACGCACATCTTCTGTGATTAGAACTGGGCCAGATGAAACCAGCATTAGTGATGATTTTAGCTTGGCTATAAGGGTGTATGGAATCAAAATAATGATTATGAGTTGCTTAGATTTCATCTGTACAGCATGAAGTACAGTAGAGCTTTTGGGGCCGTGGTTTGTGGAGTGCTTGTACCAATTGTCATCCAATACTCACGTTATACTTTGAGGCATCATTGAATGTAAATGTGGGTCCCTAAAGAAGAAGAAATATATGTTTATAAATGACACCAGTAAAATCCATGTGACTTGTAAGTTTTAACATCATAAAGCATATGTTCCTAAACATACAGGCAAAAGTTTGATTCATATACATTTCAGATTGATGTATCTATACGAGCATTCTTACTTTGTTCCCATATATATAGTCATTCTTACTTTGTTCCCATATGTATAGTTATTCTTACTTTGTTCCCTTGCAGTCTAGGAAGTTACAAGATAATGGGTGGAAACCACGATGGTTCCAAAGAGAAGGTGAAGATGGACCCTTCCGCTATATGGGTGGTTATTGGGAAGCACGAGAGGAGGAAAAATGGGATGGATGTGTAAATATATTCGATGAATTGAATGAAGACCTTGTTGATTGCTCTGAAGGGTCCTAATTTTCACAAAGGTAAGTCCTCCTGGCAAATTATATCCATCAAATCAGCCCAGTGTTGGTGAAACCACAAAAATAGATACATTATGGGTAGGTGGTGATCAAACAGTCTAATATTTGGACTTCGGAAATAGTTAGTATTTTGATACACTGCAACATATCAATTGCATTTCCTGTGGGTGAAGTTTTCATTGTGCTGTTCAATAGTGCCGCCCATTTGTTCTCTCTCTCTCTCTCTCACACACACACACACAGTGGGCTCATTATCAACGTTCTGCAGTGGTTTTCACTTGACCTGATTATGCTTAACCTTGGAACTAATGCAGGACCAATAAAAAGCTTGAGGACTATTGCAGAGCAGGCTTTGCACATATGTAGCTTAGTTTGTCACAATTCTTATTGGTCTGGTGGATATAATTGTCTGAACCTGACAAATATCAATCCGAGGGGACATAAAAATGAAGAATCAATCTTGTAATTTGTCCAGGACTATAATTGTTACATTTTGTATTCTGCTTTGTAAGGTAGTCTATTTGTATAACTCCTCCAACTTTACTAGCCACTTGCTGATCATTTTATTTGATAATTATCTCTATTTTATTTATTTATAAATGAAGGAAAAATATTTCATCTCAGAAATCATTGGAGTAGGAATTTTTTTCTTTAAAAAAAAAAATTGTTTAGATCTCAGTGGCCGTTTCCTTTGATCATTCCTTGTTTCAAATTTATAGTAACTCCTCAGTGCTGTCCTCATTCTGTATGTTATGTGCTTTTTATTCTGTATCATGGGGAGAGGCCGGATGTCAACATAAAGACAGGTATTGTGGTTCGCGCAGCGATAAGCTTATTATCCTGTGATCTGGGTTTTATGGGTTCAAGTTGTAGAAATAGCTTCTCAACAAGTAAGATTGAATACGTCTGATAGTTTCTGGAGTTGTAGACTGAGCTGCCCTATTTTCTGTTTACCATGAAAATGAAAAACTTCAAACCTCCAACGGATTGAGTCTTTTTGGGGAGTCTGAACACTCTTGATCTGTTTTCCGTTGAATTATACCACCTATTTTCCCGTATGAATGTTTCCAGGAGCAGAGGAATAGGAATATAGGAAGTCATTTCATTTTGCTCATCAACTGAAGGTCATATGATGCCATAAATATACTTCTGATGGTGTAGAAAACCAAGAAGCTCGAGGTGGATGAGCTAGTTCAACTCTTGGTGATGTATTGGGTGTGTGAACTGAAACAAAAGAAATACACAAGAGATAAGTGGTTTGCCCAGCTGTAAAGCTGGGTTAGTTTACTGTGATGGAGGTTATTGTTCTTTTGATTGTGTATTACCTGAGGGAGGAAGAAGATGATGGATACACTTGGGGTATTTTTTTTATATCTAAGGCAACCTGTTGACTTTGTCTTTTTGTACACAATAATGGTATAATCTTAACATTCCTGCGGGAAGGCGGGCAAGACTCTGAAGAGTAACAGACGCTGAATGAGAAGTAAACCTTTCAAAAAATCATAAAATATAGATGAGAGACAAAAGACGAATCACCATAGCTGATGGACAGGTGCTGTTGTTGTTCTTTGTTTTTTCTTTTGCTTTGATTGCTCAGTCTTTCCTACTTTGTTTCTCTAATCCTCTAAGTTCTTTCTCTGGTAACTTATCCGCTGTTTCCCGCATCTATGATATCAAAAAAATTACTTACTCCTTCACGATTTTCACAGGTTTGACTCCGAACCCTCGATGGAACGGAGGCCTTCTAAAGATAATGAATTCTTCTCTCCCGTTAGGCTTTATTAGTGAAAGTCCTATTTTACCCTTTAAGATAACTTTCGAGCTGTTAATTGTCTTCTGAATAATCTCGATCGGTAGACATACACCGCTTCAGATAAGGTCGCCATGTAGTGATCACGATGGTCATCCTCACCGAAAATGGTATGAGCCATACATTTTCTTATGGAATCATCAACTTTCGCTATAACCACATATCAATTGAGTCAAAATTTTCATATAGAATAACATTTCTTTACTTATCAACCGAAGTTCAGTATAGAAGATGTCTAAATGAGTTGTCTATGGTATGGAAAAAAAAAAATCACTACCGTATCAATATTTATAATTTTAGTAGATATTTTTACCATTGTTGTGATTATTTTTATTACTGTTGTGGATATTTTTACCACTGCTATAGTACCAAAGAAAAGTGGTAAAAACACTTATCATAATAGTGGTAAAAATACATGTAAAAGTGGTAAAAATAGTTAACACAACTGTGGCAAAGACACCCACAAAAATGGTAAAAATACTTACAAAAATAGTAAATCACTCACAAAAGTAATAAATTCTTTAGTTGTAAAATAGTACTTATAGAAGTTTTAAAAATACCCACAAAAATAGTAAATTTTATTTGTATCGAATAAAAGTGGTAAAAATTATTACTATAACAGTGATAAAAACACTCACAAATAATAAATCACTCATAAAAATAATAAATTTTTTATTGTAAATTACTCATAAAAATTATAACAACCCCCAACGCCACACCATTTGTTCTCTTTTTTCACATCATTTATTCTTTTTTTGGTCTTGCATTGTTCTATTACTAATGACAACAACATTTGGCATGGACCAATGTGCATGAAGTGAAGCCTCCTAGGAAGTTGGAGCCTATTTTCTAAGGAAAATCTAGTTGCCCTGAATCAAAGTTGTACTAGTAATATTAGTTTGATCTAAAAATATGACTTAATTTTGATATATTGATGTAAATTTATTGAAATTATTAGATCAATATCAAATTATAATGTTTGATAGAGTCCACAGTCAATTCAAAAGTCATAGTTAATTAGATCAATAAATTAAATTAATAAATTAAATCTCAATAACATTGTCCAAATTATATTAATACAAACTGAAATAAGAGAGCGATAATGGCTCTCTTTTGGTCTTTCGAATATAAATTGTGGTGTATATTCAATTTTTTTAATCAATAAAACTGTGTTTAGGGATTTCAAGATAAACGAAATCAATAATACTAGACTGACTAAAATTTGGGACCAAATTTTGAGTTTAAATGACATGACAGTTGACTTGGGCTTCTTTGATTGGTGTCATGTCATTTGGGTCCCATTAAAAATTTTAAATAATCAGCTGTCATGTCATTTGGGCTCAAAATTTGATCCCAAATTTTAATCAGTGTAGCATTACTCAAAAGAAATAGTGGAGCCCATCGGAGGTAGGTGATAGTGGTGCCCGTGATGATACACTCCATCAAGCAACTTCCAATTAGAACACGGGAATGTACAGGATAATTAGCCAAAGAAGCTACTGAACAAGCATGCTAGTTCCAATAATCCAGAAATTACGCGGAAAATTAGCATTCTAAGTCAAAGTGATTTGATAGGAGTGTTTTTTTTTTTTCTTCTGGAGGAAAAGAGGGAGTGGGTGTCACGAATTTTTAGACCCTTTGGGTGACTGTGACCACCTTCAAGTTAGTGTAACCTCATGTAATATGGGTTTACAGCATGAGGGACAAATGTTACAACAGTCCATAGCATGGAAATGGTTACAAAATTCCCCAAGATTTAGGGCTCTGTAAGAAACATAACAATTAGTGTTTTTTTTGCACCCACCTAACAGTTTAAAACATGTATGGTATCAGAGTAAGAGTTTCTATGGTTAAATCTCTTATCTGTCCTGAAAATAAAAAGTTCACATTCTAAGTATGACATCTAGTCGACATGCAAAAGGGTGTGTTAAAGTTGTTTGTCAAAGATTAGGTTTTGAAAGGAGTTGGTGTTTAACATCGTCCACAGTTTGGCTAAAACGTGCTTGTGTTGCCAGCTAAATCCCCTAGGGCAGATGTGGGGCCATGGATGCATATGTTTTCTTTACTTTTCCTATAACCTCTCTCCTCTCACCCCTCCTTGCACCCTATATAACAGCACCCCTCACTAGAAATCTCTTCACATCTCAAAACCCTTTATCGCTTAACCAATTCCTGCCGTTTATCCACCGAAATTCACAGAGAATTATTAGGGTTGAGAGATGGAATCCAAAACCACTGCATTGGTAGCTCTTTTTCTCACACTCAACCTTCTTTTCTTCACCCTTGTCAGTTCATGTGGCAGTTGCCCTAGTCCAAGACCAAGGCCAAGACCAAGGCCCAGACCAAACCCAAGCAATGGCACCTGCCCTAGAGATGCCCTTAAACTAGGGGTATGTGCAGATTTGCTTGGGTCGTTGCTTAATATCACCCTGGGTACCCCTCCAAGAACTCCATGTTGCACCCTCCTGGGAGGCCTTCTTGACTTAGAGGCAGCTGTTTGTCTTTGCACTGCCATCAAAGCAAACATTCTGGGTATTAACCTTAATATCCCTCTTTCTCTAAGCTTGCTTCTTAATGTGTGTGGAAATACGGTTCCATCTGGCTTCAAATGTGCATAGAACTTTTCTTCGATCGCTTGCTATGGCTTTCCTTTGTTCAACAATCTGTTGCAGGAGTGTGGTAATATGTATGGTAACTTCTCGTTTCTTAAGTTAAACTGTTTGTGTGGTTTGGTGAAGAAATGTTCAATAAGTTTCACTCTTGTAAGGTGAGAGAATGACCAGGCTCACGGAGGTAGTTATGAATTCCAAAAACATTATCCCTCTTCCTGCCTCTCTCCCAAAAAAAAATAGTTTCCCTACTATAAAGTTTAGTGATCAGCTTTTAGCATGTGTGTGTTTTTGGGAAATAAAGAATATATATATACTTTGCATGTAAAAGAATTTCTTGCATGGATGAGATATCAACGTAGGAGATTACTTCAGGTGATCCAATATGATGCCGCGATTAGATTATTTGATTGTGACTTAATCGTCATGAGTTCGAATAATAAAAATGGTTCTACTACAACCGGGATAAGATTTAGCGCATTTAGCTATCCGCAGATCCCATTGTAACGGAACTCTGTAATGCCCTCGTTTTTTTTATATACATGCTTTCAGCATTCAGAAAATAGCTACGAAACCTACAGCCACTTTGATGAAGTAGGGTTTCTTTTCTTACCTTCAAGGACAAGGATATTTCAATCATTAAAAAATTGATGACATGAAACAATCATCTGGCCTAAGTTCCGAGAATGTTTCTGCTTTTTTTTACCAGAGTGTGGAAGTTCCTGGGAGTATTATTTTCACAGAGAATCATAATATTTCTGTGTCTAAACAGTTCTCTTGACACATACAATAAGATCAAGGATTTTTAGTTGTCTTTTTCTGCGAAGTCTAAGAACTTCATGAACAAGCAAAACAAGATTACATATTACCTGATGGTGGCAATGGGGTCCGGTTAGTTTTGTACCATATCTAAATCGAATCATATCAAAATTTTACTCAAGTCTACATATGATTCATGACCAATTTATGGTTGTATAAATATAACACAATTCGTGTTATGTAAAAATTGTATAGTTGAATTTACATCATATATAACCGGTTTTAAGTCGATGTACTTGTCGTGCATGATTGACCAATAATAAGATTAATTTTAATTCCTGCTAAGGCTGAAGTCACACCAAATAATTCGATTGGTTGACAAGAACTTAGTGTTCAATCAATGCTTGGGATCAAGCAGTGCATAACTAAGAACTTTTATATATTCATCACATCAAACTTGGGACATTCTATGACTTCATTAATGCCTTTGAGTCATCAAATTCTTTGCAAAACTTTAGAGACCACCAGGTCTATCGATCGGTTATAGACATGATCTGGTATGCAATTGTATTTGAAATTGACGGATTTAAATTTATTCTTAAGAGATTTAAACAGTAATTAAGTTGACTCGAAGGGTGGAGATGGAATTGCGCACCTAACTTAGACAATACACACAGTTGACACGACCCCTTACCTGACCTAAACACCATGTTGGCATTTGTACGTAATTGCTTTCATTTCATGGACCATAACCTATTTTTGGACGAAAGTGACTAGCTAGCTAGCCTTCTAAAACAGTGCACCCCGTGACTTACAATCTTAGGGCATAATTATATTTTGCAAGAAAAAGAAATAACGTGAAAGGTCATCATTTTCACTTTCTGTAAAGGCAAAGATTCCCATACCCGATTAAACCGTGGGATTCAATAGCTTTAAAATCTCGGTTTCTTTCGATTTTTATGGTCAATTTTAACTCTCATCATCTCTATCGAAACACAAGTCTTGATTTAACAGGTATATGAATTAAAGAATTGATTTATATATTCGGAGTTGTCCTCGATTCTAATCGAACTCACTAGTTTGAGTGACTAAATTGTCTTTATCTCATCGAAGATAGGCCAGGGATTTCCCCATTATCCAACAAAAAATATCATGATGTTTCATTACTCTATTCTAACTCCTGATATAACTATCAATAATGCAGTTTATACTTTATTTTTGAGACATAATTTTAGAACCTTATATATTTTAATTTTTGGATTGATACTCAACTTAATTCAATTAATGTTACGACCCACTACTAATCCATTAATTATTATGTGTTAAGTCACCAAATTAAATTCTCAAATTAAATATTAATAGAAGTGTTCTATCACAATATCTTAGTTCAGATTCATGTCCATTAGTAGTTCCTCTAATTTCTGCTGCAATGTTCAATGCATGTTTTACTCTCTGGCATACAAATATCAAGAAATGCAGAAAATAAGGACAATAGTTTTAAATAGTGTTATTTTTTGTTAAATAATGTTATGTAGATCTAGTTTATTAATTTAATACGCTAACTTAATATATGTTATGTTACAAGAAAATATTCATTGCAACGGTGACACCATGTTATCACCGTCACATGGTATCACCATTCAATTAGAAGACAACAAATAGATAAAGTGGATCCCACTAATTTTATATGTTGTTGATTAGATGTGGTGATTACTGGTAGTTATGAAAATAGTGGAATTCATTTTAATTATTTCTAGTTTTATAATTGGATAGTGACACTACATGGCAGTGATGCTGTGACATCACCGATGCATTGAATATTTACTTGTTATGTTGACTTATTCAACATGACTAATATTATCGGAATTTAATTTAGAGATGTAATATGATGATATGATTCAATATAGTTTTTGAATTAAGAGTGCATTCTAACAGCAGATGAAGTCCGCTATTAAACTGAAAAAAATAATTTATTAAGTCTTCAAAATTAACTATAAATAACATTATTGATTCAATATTAAATCCCACCACCCCCTTTTTCCATTTGAAACAAGAGCGCAAAAGCCTCTTTCTGCAATGCAACCCTAGAAATAAACCCTAAAAAGCTGAGAAACCCATTAACCGATCCTCAAAGCCAATAGAAAAGTAAACACAAAAAGAACTTTGAGAGAGAGAGAGAGAGAGATCAACTAATAGCAAAGCACATTAAGTTCCATAGATTCCCTCAAGGCAAATTACAACAAAAAAAAGGAAAACTGCATAATTGAACAAGAACCCTAGACACTTTATAAGGCAGAACACAAGTTAGCAATGAAATACACACACATCTTAGAGAGGAGGACACACAAAGCCAGGTGGAGGGGTTATCCCACAAGTTATGAGGACTTGAAGTGCAAGAGGAATGAATATGTTGAGGTTGAGAAGTTTAAGTCTTATTGTAGTGCAGAGACAAATAGCTGCTTCTAACTCTAGCAACCCTTGAAGCACTGGACAACAAACATTCTCAACAGGGTTTCCAATCCCAATATGCACCAAACCTCCAAGCACATCCACACAAAGCCCAAGTTTCAGCGCATTGATTGGACAAGTAGGCCTGGTTGGTGGTGGGTTCAGACCTGGAACACAACCACCGCCACATCCACCTCCACCTCCACCTCCACCTCCACCTCCACCTCCACCAGAGGGAGGTGGAGTATAAGGTGGGTATGTAGAACCCGGCGGATTTGTTATTGGAGGTGAGATCACTGGAGGATTTATTACTGGAGGGTTAATGATTGGAGGTGATATAACTGGTGGAGGCTTTATAATTGGTGGTATTATAATAGGTGGCCTGGTTTTAGGAGGTGAAACTTTTGGACCACCTCCATGGTGCGGTGGGTGTGGCCGAGGAGTTGTGGGTGGGTGTGGGCGAGGAGTTGTGGGTGGCCGTGGCCGGGGAGTAGATGGCGGATTAGGGAGGTGATACGGCGGATGTGGTGATGGACAATACCCACAAGCGTAAATGGGTGGCAATGACATTAACATGCAAATCATGCATATGAAGAACATTGCGGTGACCTTTGAAATTGAACCCATGGCTTTGGGTTCCTCAAGAATTGATTGCTCTATAGTACTCTTGTTGGGTTTTGATTGATCCTAGAATTTATAGCAGAATTTCTTGGCAACCCGTGAATAGTTTTCTACTTTTTCTTGAATTGGAGGTGATAATTAACAAGGACAATGTGTAGAAAGAACACCAAGTTGTAGTAGAGAATTCCAATGTGATCAACTGGGAAATTGAACAGGGAATTTTGGAGTGTTGTTGGTCCTTTACCAACTTCAATACTCGATCCGTGACTACTTAAATTGAATCCGTGAAGGGGTGTCTTTGGTTTCAGAATAAGTTCAGTCTGCACCGATTTTTAGGGTCCCACACCTAATATTTGTACCCTTGCCCATTTATTTGCAGTTTTTGCTTTATTTGACCACCTTGCTTTTTCTGGGTTTCTTTCTGTTTTATCTGTGATCGATGATCTGTCCTTTTTTTTTTTTTAATCCAAATAAACGGTGGATAAGATTTCATCAAATAGGAAAATTTAAATTACAATCAGTCGAGATTAAAATCTTAAGCTCTGAAGGTGGAAATTCAACCCATCCTAATGGAAGCAAGGTGTGCATAGCAACGGCTGACACCCAATGAGCAGCCTTTATATTAGCTCTAGGCTAGTGTAAGAAATTAATGTTGTGTAATCTAGTTAAACACTTGATGTCTTCCATAAGGATATTAATTTTCTATGGAGAAACATCCTCGATAGCACTCAGCTTGATGATGTTAAGACAATCACTTGCAATTGTAGCATTCCTCAGTAAACTGGCCTCGACAAGAAGACAGGCTTGTCGAATCGCCTCTGCTTCTGCGACCAGGCTGGAGGTAGCTGAGAACGATTTTGATACTCGATCCATCAGTCCTCCCTTGAAATTATAGAGCAGAACAAGACATGCAGCCTTGTCGATGATCTGTCCTTGACAACGATTTTATTGCACATGTTTGGAGCTATCTAGCTATCTCTCTCTGAAATTACAGCCAAGCATGAGGTCCTTCTTTTGTCTTCGTGTTCTGTTGGAGATAGCAGTAGGAATTCAGTGTAAGAAAATTAGGGTTTGCAGAGCAGGGCAATTCTTTTCATGTTCATTATCAAATTATGGTGCAATCATAGAGACGAAGCAAGGATTTGGTTAACCTGTGGGCTAACTCTGGTAATGTCAACAAGTTATACTTAGAACAAATTGTAAATTCAGGTGTCCTAAATTTGAATTTTAACAATTCTTTGAGATTGAATCACAAAGAAATTATTTTTCATGAATACCCTAATTGCGATATATATAATCTGCTTTTGATCGAAACGAGGAGAAAATTAGTTAAGAAGTGCGTAAACCGACCCGAATACTCATAACCATTAAACTAAAAGACAAAAAAAAAACAAGGATTTCACTGTGAGAGAGTCAAATAGTAGGTTAACTATATATTTTTATTATGACACTACGTACTATACTTATTCATTTTCAATTAAATGAATAAAATTAAGTTATTTGTTGAATTGATTAGACTTAGAGAATAATATCAATTTATCCAAAAGTCATAGGAGAAAGAGGGATCAAAATTTGAGGGGGGTCATGGCCCCCTCGCCATAACTTGGTTCCGTCCATGAGTTCAATTATGGTATTTGAATGTTATTTTTGACACATATTTTTTTTAACCAATGAAAGTGTGACATGTGTATTCTTTTATTTTATTATTTTTTTTAATCAATGGTTGCAAATGAATCAATGGAATACCGGTTGCCAAAAAATATTTTTTGTTATATTTCTTAAAAAAAAAAAAATGGGCACCATAATCTCATCCTTTTATTAATGTAAATAACTAACAATGTTAATGAAGTATCAAAAAAATTTACAATGTTAATGATAATATCAGAATAATCTTAGTAGCCTCACTATCTCATTGCCTCTACAAGTCCACCGAAACTCTCATTCCCACAGCAAAAAAAAAAAAACCCACTACCTCCTCCTCCCTTTCCATTTTTAGTGGCTGCACATTATGGGACGTTATAGGGTTATTTTGAACTATAGAGGGTAAACTGCCACAAAACTAAACGACGTGGGGTAAAATAGTTTTTTTTTAGTTCTTTTATATATCAGTTAATTTCACTAGTGGGGGACTGGACTTTCCTTTCGCATTCTTTCTATAAAGTATCGTTCTTTCATATACAGATTAGTTGATTGTCAAACATAATTCTTTTAATGTTCATATAGGTTTTCTAAAGCCAGAAATTTTGTTTATAATGAACATTTTAACTATAAATTTAATTTTTTTTTCACTCAATAAAAGTAACATAGTACATTTAAACTTATTATATTACTAGTCATAACTCATGCCTAAAGACACGATAGAACAAAAAATTCGAGTTCTAAAAAATCGATATCACTATATTAAATAATAATTTTTATTTCCTTCATTTAATTGATTAAATCATTCAAAATTTATTTTTACCAATTATTCTTTTAAAGGTATTGACAAAATTTTCTCAAAATATGTAATTCGATTTTTTTAACAAATTTATACTATCGTGTATGGATAATATCTGAAATAAAAATTATGTTAAATTACAAATTAATCAAATATTAAATGGTTGAGTATGTGATAAAAATAAGTGATGTGATGGTTTGGGGAGAATGTATAGGGGATAAAATTCAACTTCCTATGTATTTTATTATACAGATTTGTATAGATAAGGAAAAATTTCATCCAGATCCCCTGTAGTTAAGTTTAAATTCAATTGCACCTCCTTCTGATTTTGAAATTTCACTATTATTCCCTATTAGTGATGGTCGGGTTACACCGTTAATGGCGATGGTTGATTTATAGAAATATCCTTGAGTATTTTATAGGATAAATTTTATTCACACTCCTTATAAATAAACCTACCTTTAATAACACCTCCTGTAAATAAACTTAACTTTAACAACACTCTCTCTTGATTCTGAAATTTCAATGCACTCCCTTTTAGTTCTATTATATTAGTCTTTATTTTGATCAATTTAATATTCATTTTATCAAATTAATTTTCTTTATTTAATTTAAACTAAATTAGCATTTCATCTCATCAAATCAACACAAAATTGATATTTAATTTTATCAAATTAGCATTTAGTTATATTAATTTAATATTTCATTTCATCAAATTAATATTACTTCTTTAATTTAATATTAAGTTATTATTTATTTTTATTAATTAACATCAAATTGACATTCAATTTTATTAAATTAAACTATTTAATTTATTAAATAGAATATTAAATTCCATTAATTTAAAATTTAACCTTGTCAAATTAATGTCATTTCTTTAATTTAACACCAAATGAACATTCAATTTTATTAAAAGAACATTCAAATTTATTCAATTAACATTAAATTCAATCAAATTAAATCTAAATTAATATTTAAATTTATCAAAGTTGAGAGCAAATTTATTCAATTAATATTAAATTTTATCAAATAATTTTAAATTTTATATATGAAGTATGATGTGTGAGGAGCGGTCGGACGATATTGTGTAGGACATATGATAGTAGAAGAATTAGAAATGGATGAGATTTTGACATTGACTTTATCAATTGTAATTTTTATTATAGAAAAATTATTTTTAACTATAAAAATTATTATGATAAAAAATATAAAAATTATAAAAACTTGATTATGTAACCAAATGAGTGATAATATTATGTGATGACTAATATTATAATAAAGTTATAATACAATGTTTTAAAATTAAAAATTCATTGGGATAATATAATGATTAAAATTACATTTGTTGACTAGCTAACGCACATATAATGGGGAAAAAATTGATGACATTTTAGTCTATTTACATAAGAAAAGGTAATTTTAGTATTTTCACAAAATATTTAGTTAAATCATTATTTTATATACTGATAGAGACAAAAGTTATTGTTATAAGTGTTTAGATAAAACTTTTCCTAGGTATAACATATAGATATAGTATGTCTTCGATCTTTGTATTCTATATATGTACAGTAAATATGTGTGTGTGATATGAACAGTAAAGATGGAGAGCGGCTGCGTTAGGATAGAATTTTGGGAAGACATGTGTCTCAGTTTTGAAAGAGAATCATGAAAGATAAGAGTGTGAGAGACAGTCAATGTCTCAGTGTAAAAAGTGATCCCTTAATATAGGAAATAAAATTAGGAAAATATTGATAAGAGCTGTAATCTGTATTTTAGAAAGAGATGGAGAGACAGAGTTGAGGAATGAGAGATCGTTTAATTGTCAGATTTGATTTAGAAATGTTAATTTTGAAAACTAAAAATTTTGAGTGGCAAAAAAATTTCAAGAGCTAATATGGTACGTCAGATTGAAAAGATCTGAAATGTCAATAGCTCGAGACAGTTTGAAATATCGTCGGCCGTTGGATAATGCCTTTTTTGATCTCGAAACGATTTTAACCGCTCTTTGTCTCTTAAATTCAAAATCGTTTTACTTTATTATATAAATATTTGATAATCAAACATTCATTAGATACAAAACGGTTCAATGTCAATGTAACGTGTACAAAGAATAACAATAAAAAGAGAGTAATTGCAATTATTTGTAACTGATCTCAATAAGTTTTCATGCTTTAAAAATATTGTATGATAATTTCATTATCAATATTATAGAGAATATTTTTCTCTATTCACTTTTTAATTATACAACTTAGTTCTCATAGTTTTTATAATTTTAAAAAATGAATTCATATATTACAACTTGGAATTCGATATATTACAACTTGTTTAGACGTATCCGTAAAATATAAAGTGTAGCCAAAATTTTATAGCTAATTAGGTATGCGTCTATACTTCATGATAGGACAAGAAATTGATAATGAACCCAACATATATAAGGTCGACATCATTAACTATATCAAAAATTATTTAAAATATATTCAGGGTGACCCCCCAGGTCTACTACTGGCTCCACTCCACTAGTGTTTTCAATGGAATAATGAGTAAGTGGAAGTGTAAAAGAGAGGAGTTGGATGAGTTTTGTTTTCAAATGGCACACCCGAGAGAGAGAGAGAGATTATATTACTCTGCTTCCTTGGCATTCCGCTGGGTTCATCATACGACCATCTTTATAACTTCTCAAATCTCAAATGATCATTTGTTGAACACTTGAACTTTCAAATCTCTGTTTAATACAGCTTGGCTGTTGAACTCCATGTGCCACTGTCGCTAACTATATTAATAGAGAATCTCCATTTTAGTACTCCACCAAAAAATCCATATAAATTATTTATTATTGATTTTTTTTTTTTATCATATCTCCCTGCAATCTGATGTTTCAGTAATTTATCTTCTACGTCGAGTAAACCATTGCATCCAACTCATAATACTGTATATATAAGAAATCATATTGCAAATGCCATTGTAATTTCACGAATAAATATCAGTTGTTTGCTGGCCAATTTGTTTTTCTTTTACTTGTCTAATTAAGCAGACAGATAAAAAAAAACACTAATCTTCATTAAAAATCCAGTTGATTTTTGAGTGGTATAAATTGGTTTTCTTTATCAAGAAAGTTAAATATAAAGCATTTTGCTCAAAAAACCTTATTTGGAAGAGAATAAGCTCACACCCGAAACACTGAATAACAATCATTCTCATATCCAAGAAAATTATAATATATTTTTCTTGACTTATATGAATAATTTAAAGTTTAAACAAGGCAATTATATCCCCTTCATATTTTTTTGATTGGCCTATTCTTCGTCACTTTAGGTGATGGACTTGAAAAAACTTATTTAAAAGTACGAGACAATAGACTTATCATTCTACTCGTGAATCTCTCATTTATGTTAGTCATGTTTGGTTTGATCTTTTTCTTATTTTGTTTCTCTTGGCAAACTTCCAACAATACTAGAAAAGACATTGACCTGCTTCTACTGGCTCATTTCTTGGTTCCTTGGTGAGCCTAAATTGGGGAAAAATGGAGGAAGTTGGAGTTGGTTACCTTGCAAGAAAAGTGAGTAATTAATGCGATAGGGCATTTCTTTCTAAATATAGACACCTCTTTGGCATACTATAGACCACAGAAGACGTAACGCCCAAATAGATTGGGCAATCACCACAAATGACCTAGCTTCACTCCTCTCTCTCTCTCTCTCTCTCTCACATCCTCTTGCAGGACTTGCAATTTATGTCTTAATTTTGCAGGAAAAAAATGTTAGCGTGGCGTTTGATAGCGATGGTAGTAGTGATTGCAATGGTGGTAGACATTTAAGTGCCATATATTTGGAGGTTGCAGACTAAGGTAGGCTGTTAGAGAAGCGGTGATAGTGGGAAAGGTGGCAGGGAAAAATGGCAGACTTGGTGAACAAAACGGAAGATACAATCGTCTGTTATGCTCCGACGATGATAACAACGAATGGGATATGGCAGGGTGATAATCCTTTAGATTATTCTCTCCCTCTATTCATCTTGCAACTAACATTGGTTGTGGTAATGACTCGTATTCTAGTTTTTCTCTTGAAACCCTTTCGCCAACCTCGTGTTATCGCTGAGATCCTTGTAAGTATACATTACCACAAATATTTAACGTATGTTCTTGTTCTTGTTCATGCAAACCAGTTGAATTGAATGCATGCACATGGCTATTGAAGAACAAGAAAACAATATCAATTGCCTAAGTTAAATAATCTATTTTCAAAATACACGAAGACAATTTATATACAGAAGATATAAACCAAAAAAAAATCCCTTCTCCCCCATCTAGGGTTACCAATTCATTGCATGGGTCGAGTAATTAGGAAATTGAAACCTGAATAACATAGGTTCAAATTATAAAAATTCTATGAACTTTTAATTGGGTATACAACAAATTGTACGCGAAGAACTCGAATGTGAGAGGAATCAGAAGGGCAATATCACAGAAACGCTTGTACTGGAGAACCCTAAGGATGCATTAGTGTGTGAGAAATCAACATCGCGATAAAACTATTCAACAGAAAGTCTATGCTCTCGATGAAATATCAAAATACTCTTCTTCTCTATTTACTTATTGCAAACCATTCTTGTGACCGCAGGGTGGCGTGATATTGGGTCCTTCAGTACTGGGACAAAACCAACACTTTGCCAATGCGGTATTTCCTTTAAGAAGTGTAATGGTGCTGGAAACAATGGCGAATGTTGGTCTTCTTTACTTCCTTTTCCTGGTTGGAGTGGAAATGGACCTCGGGGTAATTCGTCGCACTGGAAAAAAGGCCTTCGCCGTTGCTATTTCCGGGATGATATTGCCTTTCCTTATTGGTGCTTCATTCTCCATCTTGTTGCACCAGAAATCACAATTCATGAAACAAGGCACTTTCATTCTCTTCCTTGGAGTTGCTCTCTCCGTTACAGCATTCCCCGTGCTTGCCCGAATACTTGCAGAGCTCAAACTTCTCGACACCGAGATTGGTCGGATCGCCTTGTCGTCGGCTCTCGTCAACGACATGTGTGCATGGATTCTCTTAGCTTTTGCCATCGCCTTGGCTGAGAATGGAAGTATGTCCTTGGCGTCTCTCTGGGTGATCCTATCGAGCACGGCATTCGTGGTGTTCTGCATATTCGTGGTCCGGCCACTGATCGTTTGGATGATGCGGAAAACTCCAGAAGGCGAATCCATCAGTGAATTCTACATATGCCTGATTCTCACTGGGGTTATGATCTCTGGTTTTATCACAGATGCCATTGGAACACATTCTGTTTTCGGAGCTTTTGTCTTTGGCCTGGTGATTCCAAACGGACCTCTTGGTGTTACCCTTATAGAAAGACTTGAGGACTTCGTTTCAGGGCTTCTGCTTCCTCTCTTCTTCGCCATTAGTGGCCTCAAGACTGAAATTAGCTTAATTACAGGGTGGGCAACGTGGGGAATTCTACTGCTTGTAATCATTCTTGCCTGCCTTGGCAAAGTTGTTGGAACCCTACTTGTTGCTCTCTACTACAAAATGCCATTTCAGGAGGGTCTGACGCTTGGTTTGCTCATGAATACCAAAGGCCTTGTTGAGATGATCGTGCTTAACGTCGGCAAAGACCAAAAGGTACTCTCCCCCCATTCTCCGATCACTTGAGCCTTAGCTTGAGTTTGTCTTTGGAAAAATTTATCAAGAAGATTAATATGTCAGTCACTGAATACAGGTGTTAGACGATAAGTCATTTGCGATCATGGTCCTTGTAGCTGTGGTTATGACCGGAATCATCACGCCCATTGTCACAACAATTTACAAGCCCGCCAGGAAGTTTGTACCATACAAACGAAGAACTATTCAAAGGACTAAACCAGATAGTGAGTTCCGTGTACTTGTATGCATCCACACCCCCAGAAATGTTCCAACAATCATCAACCTCCTCGAAGCCTCCCACCCCACGAAGAATTCCCCGATTTGCGTTTATATGCTCCACCTCGTAGAACTCACTGGTCGTGCATCGGCAATGCTCGTTGTTCATAACACTCGAAAGTCTGGCCGGCCAGCCCTAAACAGGACTCAAGCTCAATCTGAAAGTATCATCAAGGCGTTTGATAACTTTGAACAGCATGTTGGCTGTGTTTCCGTCCAACCCCTCACTGCGATCTCTCCTTACTCCACCATGCATGAAGACATATGCAATGTGGCGGAGGACAAGCGTGTGGCCTTCATTATCATCCCATTTCACAAACAGCAAACAGTTGATGGAGGGATGGAAGCCACGAACCCAGCATTTCGATCAATCAACCAGAATGTATTAGCAAACGCACCTTGCTCTGTTGGCATTCTTGTTGATAGAGGCCTAAATAGGTCAACACGCTTGACTGCGAACCAGGTCTCTCACCACATTGCCGTGCTATTCTTTGGTGGACCGGATGACAGAGAGGCATTAGCCTATGCCTGGAGGATGTCTGAGCATCCTGGAATTAACCTCACTGTAATGCGGTTCCTTCCCGGGGATGATGCAGCTGAATCAACTGTGGAGGCTAGCTGCGAACGAAATGACCCTAGGGTGTTAACAGTGGTAACAGATAGTGACAGAGAGAAGCAGCTAGACGAGGATTACATAAATGAGTTCAGGGCAAGAACTTCAAGCAATGATTCGATAGTTTACACAGAGAAGGCGGTAAACCATGGGGAGGAGACTGTGGCAGCAATAAGATCAATCGAAAATATCCATGACTTGTTCATAGTTGGTAGAGGACAAGGTATGATATCTCCACTCACGGCAGGGCTCACGGACTGGAGTGAGTGCCCAGAGCTTGGTGCAATTGGAGATTTGTTGGCATCATCAGATTTTTCAGCGGCAGTTTCAGTGCTAGTGGTGCAACAGTATTTCGGGATGGGGCAGGGTGATGCACTCGTCACCCCGGACAGCCCAAGTCAGCCGAATGAGCAATTCGGAAACTTCTGCCAAGTGATGAACCGGCGGACACCACCTAGGGGGCAAGCCATGTTCCACTCACAACCCTGAAGATCAGAAAATGTTGTGCTCAGATTTTTCTGATAGTTGATGTTTTAGGTACTGTTTTTGTTGTTTGCAAAGAGTAATGCTACTAAAATCAATCCATAGTTACAATATAGAAATTCAATTTAAAGGAATGCAAAATACTTCGTAGAAAAATCAAACATCATTTCCAATCTTGTATGCATAGACACTTTTTTAATGTAAAAGCGAGTGCTATAATTAGTCTTTGGATTACATAGCAACACCTTACTTCTGACAGACCCAACAAAGTTTCATGAATCATACTCGAGACAGTCAGCATCAGCAAGATCAAAAAATCATATAGGAACCATATCACAATTACTACAATGAAGTGCTATAAGCAAACATCACAATTTAATTGAACAAGTCAGTTTCACCAACACGGAATGATCCATTATTTCCTAAGCAAACAATTACGGAGGAAAGGACACACTAGTGAGATACATTTCCCCATATTTAGGAGCGATCGGGTACCTAAGGTCCTCCACCAAGCTCCACTCATAGGTTGTCATATGAGTAGACCTTTGGCATCTTGTCAGATCAAAAGGAAATTCGATCACACGCAGTTTCCTGAGAAGTGATTAAAAACAATTACAGAGCAGCTCTTCTAAAAGTAAATTAGTGAATGCACGACAACATGCAAGCAATATTCATGGCATGCCTTGAGGGACAGTACAAGTTCTGCCTTGTCTGGCAGAGTACAGCAAGTGCCCTCTTCTCAAACTATTAAGCCAACAAAATCTTTCTTACAAATTTTCATGGGTTCAAATTGGATGTTACAAGCAAAATATTAGTTTCTAAAGAAGATTGAACTGCTTTGTTTGGCACAAACAAATCCAAGTTAAACCATTCTCTATAGTTGGGGTACCAGTGTAATTACAGTTGAAGTAGTATTCGGTCCAGTTATTTATGCTATCTAGTATCCAAGCTGTAGTTTCAAAGAGTTAGTCCATAAAAAGCAACAACCACATTCAAATAACACCACTAATATGCTACCAATTTAACTTCAAGTTCTCAAGAATGACAAGCATGGTAGCAAGAACCAACTTTAAGATTTCCACAAATAGCTTATTGACATTCTTGATCACGAATGATGACAGGTATCACCAAATTTGGTGCAACTTCCTATGTGAATTTCACTCTAAATTTTGGTAGTGTATTACAACATGACTACAATCATCCTGTGTTTGGTAGCTTGGGATTGGAGCCTTGGAATTGGAATTTGAAAAGTGGTAATTCCACCACACCAATACATGTTGCAAAACACAGCATACAGTGTTATTATATTAAAAGAGAGCCACATCAATTGCAAAATAAGTGTTCTTCACAAATCAGGATTAGACTTTTGACTTACAAACTATACATTTGAGGCTTTGTCGTTCTATACAGCTAGCGGTCCAAACGTGGCGATAAAGCCTAAACCTCCACACAACCAAGCCAATGCTTCATACTACAAAAACAAATTAACTGAGAGAACAAGAAGAACCTTTAAAGCATTACTACATAAAAATTGCAAAAATAAATTCTCGAGAAATCTTTTAATTCCCAAAGATAATCAGAGAATGAAAAAGTTCACCTTCCCGACTGTATCTGGTCAATACAAGGCTCCGGATATGCAGTCCCATTGTACCAAAAAAGTTCATCACCAACAGGCAGCTGCTGAATCCATCAAAAAACGTGTCACTTTTCTAGGATTTCATCAAAAAACAAACTACAGTTTTCACGTCATAGAAGAAGGGTTTGTCGGGGACAGTGTGTTTGCCGTCACGAAGACCCATGCCGGAGTGCAGGCGAAGAGAAGAAGCGACGGAGCAGGAAACAACAACATTTACGCCCATAATCTGCAATGCTACCTGGCTCAATATTATTGCCATTTTCTCCAATCAAGATTTTCCTTGTGGTTTAAGAGTCCTGACAACCACCGTTTTGATCTGTAACAATCAGTTAATCTAACGTACAATTGTAAAAGAATAAGCATTTTATAGTGGGCAGTGTAAATTGCCAGATACAAAACACATCTAATCAAAAGTGAACCAATGCTGATTAGGTATAGGTTTGTACCACATCAACGTCGTACCATCCAATTAACTCCACGAGGCGTCTGACCACATATTTAAAAAAAAATGAGAATTTAAGACAAAATTGTAAGAAAACATGAAAAACTAAAACCATAAGAAATTTAAACTTCACCTATATATTTTGAGTGTGTGTGTTGCATGTAAAGAGGGAGAGTGGAGGAGGTATACACTCTCAAATATTGATCACCTCTACAAAACTATTATAAACCAAAGATGTACTGTGATCTATACAACTACTCTTGTAATTGTAGATGAGGTGATAGCAATCCTCTAACACGCATTGAACCATTACCACAACTCTTTGGATAACATATTCGGTGAATGCATCGATGACAAAGTTCACAGCTGATAATAGAGAATCAACTTTCAACTGTATCCATGGCAAAAGCACAATTCAATAGACTGAATACAACATATAAAGATAGACCAATCCACGAGACTTCCGTAAGTACCGACAATGCGGAAAAAGTTAAACAGAAAGCAAGGACTATGACAAATCCAGCCTATACTCTCATATGCAGATACTTTAGACTAAAAGTATGTCCACAGTCCCTCAAATACCCAGTTGGTTTTGGACCTCCAGGATGGTCTTAGCTGAGCTCCTAAGTTGTTCCACCTCCTCTTCTGTAAGATGCACATTCGTCACCCTAAGACTCCGCTCCTACCAAGCTGTGCTGGCAAGCTCAGGAATACATCCCCGTCATGGATGCCATGGAAACCCTTGGCAAGGACTGAGACAGGGTGGATTCGCCTCTGGTCCCTAAGTATTGTTCGAGCCAGGCTAGCCGCCGAGTACCCTATTGCCCATGATGTGTAACCTTTGAGGCTTATCACTTCATATGCACTCTCCACAACTTCTCTGTGAATTTTCTCCAGAGTGGCCTTCTCATAGGCGATTTGCTGCCTTTCCAAAAGGCTAAGTAGTGGTACTCCTCCAACACTTATGCTTGACCACAGCGCCACAGAACTGTCACCATGCTCCCCAACAATGTATGCCTGGTGTAACCATCACAATTCAGGAAAAAAAATTGAGAAGTGCAATGCCTATACTAAAAAGAATTACAAATCTCAATAGTAAACCAATTAGGGAATGGAAAAAAGTGCACCCAGAAATAATTTTGGATAAGAACAAAATGAGCCAACGAAAAATTTGTTTACTGGCTGGTCAGTGTGACCTTGACCAAAACTAATAGAAACATTAATCATTGATTGCACCTAAATCACTCAACTTGTGCAGGTGATACCAACTAAAATCTCAAAGGAGCAATCTTACTAGGATTTAATTTGGGAAATGAATAAATAATTAACGTTGGATTGGATTAATTGTGAATCTTGGTATTGAACGTATTCCACTGTTAGCCAAACAATAAGAATGCATTATATCTAGTAATTAGATTTTCAAATCAAGTACGATTAGTATTATTGATATCAAAACAAACATACTAAAAAGGGTTAATTAAATCGACATCCCTTTAGTTTTTGACAATTATAGAGACACCCATTTCCATTTTTAAAATTAACACACACCCACGACAAGTAATAACATCCCAATATTATTTCATAACTACAATCATCATAGTTGAAATGAAGACTTTAAGATAAGCTAATCTAAGGGGTGTGTGAAATTTACCCTTCAAAATTATACAAACTTTTGAAAAAATTCAAAAGCGGCCCACAATAAATTCCAAGATCCCTTAACGGCTAGAGAGAACAATCTAGACAGAGACATTTAAACGTAAATGGAAAGTGATAACTCACCTGCACATCCTGAGCATTGACATCAAGATGATCCGCAATGAGAAACCTAAACCTGGAAGAATCCAGATTCGTACCCGAACCGATAACCCGGTTCGACGGAAACCCAGAAAGCTTCCACGCCACATAAGTCAAGACATCCACCGGATTCGAAACAATCAACAGCACAGAGTCCGGCGAGTACTTAGCCAACGGCGGTATTATACACTTAAACAGAGACAAGTTCCTCTGCATCAAATTCAATCTCGACTCACCGGGGATTTGTCGGGCACCCGCCGTGACAATGCAGAGATCCGACCCGACGGTGACGTCGTAGTCGACGGAGGCCTTGATTTTGGTGCGGGGGAGGAAGGCGGCGCCGTGTTGGAGGTCGAGCATTTCACCGCGAAGTTTATCGGGCTTGGCGTCGACGAGGGCGATTTCGTCGCAGAGGTCTTGGGTTAGGATAGTTTGGGTAATGGCCATGCCGACGTTTCCGGTTCCGATGATGGAGATCTTAGTGTGGCGTTTTGTGGGTGATGGTGGCTCTGTGTTGCAAATGGGCTTGAAGAACGCTTGGCTTAGATCCAAGCCTGCTGGACCCAGAGATGAAGTTGAAGAACTATTTTGCATGGTGTGCACTTTTCTCTGTCTGTCTGTCTGTCTCTGTCTCTCTCTGTCTCTCTCGATTGAGTTGCAGAAGAAGTGCAGGGTTTGCAGTTTATATAGGCACAATCTCACAGTGAAGACGAAGGAGGAGGAAAGGGAAAGAGAACGAGTTGGTTTCTTTGGTTTTATTCAACGGTCAATTTCTGCGACGACTTATGTGCGTGGAAGTCGAATGAGGAGCTATCAAGTATGACGCACATGTGATTGATTGATGGTGAGGCAAGTATCAACCGTGGGATACCATGAATAGTTAGATGAAGGGTAAAGCTTGTCTAAGTGCAATCAGGTGCAGATGTTTTGGAGGGGTATTGGATTGGTATCATGCGTGATGAAGCCTCCATTGCTTATTAGATTGAGGAATTTTCCGTACCTTCGACAAAATGTTGTCCTCCGCTCCTGGTTTCTTGATGCTCAATCCAATTAATAGTTTATTGTCTATGGGCCATGGTTTTTCTTTTCTATTTTTGTTTATTAAAAGGGTTTTTCACACACTTGCACCTTAAAGATATTTTAATTTTATTTTGTACCTAAAAGATTTTTTTTTATATTGCACCCTAAATATAATAAATTAGTTCTAATGTGGCTCTCGAATATGCACATGTCATCTAGGTATGTTACTCTTAAACAAAAATATAAACTCACCATTCATATTTTTGGGTCATCTATGTGTATTGTTCTTGAACAAAAATATAAGCTCACCATTTATATTTTTGGATGACATGAATATCAATTTTTAATAAAATTTAAAACGAATATTAATTTGAGTGTCACATTAAAATTAATTTATGACATTCAAGGTAAAAAGTGAGAAAAATAATTTTTTAGAATATAAAGTGAGAATTAAAATATCTTTTGGAGCGTAAATTATAAAAATTCTTTATTAAAATTTCTTCCTTTTCTTTAATCAAATTTACGAGGGACCAACGAGGATCGAACTTGTAAATAAATACAACAGGTGGTAGCCATAGGCCAACCTCAGGTCCTCAACAAAATTTGATCTCAATTTTATGTTTTTACTCATTTTGCAATGCAAAATCCTGTAATATATAGCTAGCGACTTATCACATATATCAATCTAGATAGAAGGTTACACAGAGGTGTTGAGCTTTGTATGTGTGCTTGGTTATACTTGTATATATTGCAAAAAGAAAAAGTCTTGGTGGAAAAATGAAGGGTAAATTATATTTTATCACTTTAAACTATTATCTTTGTTTTACTTTGCATTTCCAACTATAAAATTTTTTACATTACACTCTAAAATATCAATTTTATTTTATATCACTCCAATAGATAACGGCTATTAATTTTTTAACTGTAATTTGTAAATGTGTATGTGATGTTTGATTTTGTCCTTCCAAAATTTTAAATTGTCTTCTTCTGACATATTTTTTTTTCTTTTCAACAACCATTTAGTTACAAAAGAGATAAAATAAAATAGTAATAGACACTTGACGAGAGGTTCTTTGGAGTGTTACTCCCTCCTTTGATAGATTTTAAAGTTTATCGTTATCTATTAGAGTGATAGTAAATAAAATTAATACTTTAAAATGTAACGTGAGAAATTTTATAATTGAGAGTATAAAATAAAATAAAGATAATAATTTAGGGAGTAAAATGTAATTTACTCAAAAATGAAATGGCAGAAAAAGCATTGCCTCTGTTTCTTTCAGTCACAACCACATGCACAACTGTCAACAGGCATAGCTCAAACAAGAAAAAGAACTGTAGGATGCCTTTAGACTAATGATCAATGAGATAAAGTTTACAGCTTTTGTGTCCATGACAAAAGCACAATTCAGTAGATTGAACGTAAGGTATAAAAAACATCCGGTCCACGATACTCCCATCTGTAGAAGGTTAAATACAACATGCTGCGGGAAGAAAAATGCAAAAGAAAGTTAAAGTAGACAACTAAGTGCATGAATAGTCCAACCTATACTCTCATATGCAGAAATTTCAGATTAAAAGCATGTCTACGATCCCTCAAATACCCAACTGGCTTTGCACCTCCAGGATGGTCTCAGCTGAGCTTCTAAGTCGTTCAGCCTCCTCCTCCGTAAGGTGTACATTGATCACGCCCAAGACTCCACTCCTACCAAGCTGTGCCGGCAAGCTCAGGAACACCTCCCCACCACGGATCCCATGGAAACCCTTGGCGAGAACCGAGACAGGGTGCACTCGCCTCTGGTCCCTAAGTATCGTTCGTGCGAGGCTAGCCGCCGAGTACCCTATTGCCCATGATGTGTAACCTTTGAGACTTATAACTTCATATGCACTTTCAACAACTTCTCTGTGAATTTTCTCCAGAGTGGCCTTCTCATAGGCAATTTGTTTCCTTTCCAGGATGCTAAGGAGTGGTACTCCTCCTACACTTATGCTTGACCACAGCGCCACAGAGCTGTCCCCATGCTCCCCAACAATGTAGGCCTGGTGTAATGTAACCATCACAATTCAACGACCATTAATCTTAATTTGAAAATGATAAAAAAATATTTAAATGAAAAGTGCACTGACTATACAATAATAATTATTGGCTGACTATCCATTGCTATTAGAAAATAATTAACAGCAGAGGTATTGTAGATCAAAACGATACTAATAACAGAGGAGCTGAACCCAATACTATTTCAAATCCTAATGGAAAATCCTGATTACTCACCTGCACATCCTGAGCATTGACATCAAGATGATCCGCAATGAGAAACCTGAACCTTGAAGAATCCAGATTCGTACCCGAGCCGACAACCCTGTTCGACGGAAACCCAGAAAGCTTCCACGCCACATAGGTCAAGACATCCACCGGATTCGAAACAATCAACAACACAGAGTCCGGGGAGTACTTAACCAACGGCGGTATTATACACTTAAACAGAGACAAGTTCCTCTGCATCAAATTCAACCTTGACTCACCGGGGATTTGTCGGGCACCAGCCGTGACAATGCAAATGTCCGACCCTACGGTGACGGCGTAGTCTACAGAAGCTTTGATTTTGGTGCGGGGGAGGAAGGCGGCGGCGTGTTGGAGGTCCAGCATTTCGCCTTGGAGCTTCTCGGGCTTGGCGTCGACGAGGGCAATTTCGTCGCAGAGGTCTTGGGTTAGAATGGTTTGGGCTATGGCCATCCCGACGTTGCCGGCGCCTATGACGGAGATTTTTGTGTGGCGTTTGGTGGGTGATGGTGGGGCTGTGTCGCAAATGGGTTTGAAGAAGGCTTGGCTTAGGTCCAGGCCTCCTGGACCCAAAGATGAAGTTGAAACACTCTTTTGCATGGTGTATTGGTGTTATCTCTTTCTCTCTCTCTCTCTCTCTCTGTCGACCGAGTTGTAGCAGAAGAAGGAAAGGGTTTGCAGTTTTATAGGCACAGTGCAGACGAAAGACGAAAGGGCAAAGAGTTGGTTTCTTTGGTTTTATTCAACGGTCAATTTTTGTGAAGACATGAGACATAGAAGATGGAGGAGGAGTTATAGAGTATGATGAACATGCAGCGGTTTGATTGTGTGGTAACTTATGAACCGTACGATGATCTTAAAGGTTTAAACTTTAATACCGAATAACTATTAGGAAAATATTATTTGGATCTAAAAATTTGACATAATTTGTTGATCTAATGACGTGTCTTCATTAGAATCATTGGATTAATACCAAATTCTAATGTTTGATGAAATCCACCGTCAATCTATCAATCTAAACGTCATAATGAATTAGGTCAGTAAATTAGATCCCAATAACATTATACATCTTTTAATGGTTATAATGTTAAAATGACGTGTGAAATTTAATTATTTATTAATTTTATGATTAACAGCTAAAACCCAAATTTGATTAAAAAATTTATTATTTTATTCAATGAATATAAAAATATTAGTCTATAAATAAATCCACTTATATTTGAACATTTAATTTAATTCTTCGATCAGATTCATAATGATATTTCACCAAAATTTTAACAAATAATCATGTGTGTATAATAAAAGGCAACATATATATGTATATTAATTAGATTATATTTTTATCGGATCAATTTTATATATATATATATCTAAATTCATATCCAATTTAAAATATTTAAATGAATTTGAATCGAATTTAAAAAAATAGATAAAAATATAGCCAATATCCAATTAAGATATTCGAATCGGATTAGGATAGAGATCTGGTCCATTGACCGACCTAGTTATAAATAATTCAAAATAATTTTTGTGGTTAATAATTATTTTTGTATGATACTAAAAAATTAAATATGAGTAGACTTATTCCTAAAATCAATGGTATTTTGTGTCGGCTGCATTCATTTTTATATGTTTCGGAGGTAGAGGATTAGGTTTCTGTGTTTCTAGACTGGACGGTGGATCCTTTTGTTGGGCCGTGAGGGACCACTGCTGTAGCTTGTGCTTGTTGCGAACTCCTTTTTACATTGAGGAATTTTCGTGAGCTTTGACAAAATCTAGTCCTCCTATGCTCCTAGTTTCTTGTTGATCGATCCAATGTATTAATTTATTGTCTATAGTCTATGGGCCATGGTGGTTTCGTTTTTTGACTTTTTTTTTTTAACGACAAATCGAATTAATCATGTATTTTCTGGGTTTATTATTACAATATTTTTTTATTCATTGTTCATGCGTACCGGTTTATGCAATTAATGGTATTAAACTATAGTGTGTAAATTTATGTCCCATCTCTTATATTCAATCGTTTAATCATTTTTGTGCCGCTTAGGATTGTTTTTGTTATGATTTAATCCTAATAACATCAATTATGTACCTTATGTTATTTTGACAACAGAAGGTAAATTTTCATACTAATGTTTATGTTAGTTTGGTTTTTTGCACCAAACAATGGCCAGCTCTAAACCGCTGATTTCACATTAGGTATGTGTAATGTTATGGTCTTGGGTTGAAAATTCTCACTTCTATCCAAACCTCTTCATGGAAAATAGAAGAACCTTCTCCTTATTTTCTACACTGACATGATAAAACGTGCTTCCTACTTTCTTCCTCTGCCTCTTTTCATGTGAGTTTTGTGGGGCTTTTAGGAGTCACACCAGGAAAATGCTGGCAAAAAGCAGGATTTATATTCCACCATTTTCAACGGCACCCATTGGACAGTATTGAAAATTTATCATTTTATTTGAACGTGGTCAATACTGTAATAAGTCAGATTAAGTGTTACACAATTTTGAATATCGCTAATATGGCAGATTAGCAGGAAACAAACAATCTAACCACAAAAGAAAGCCCACACCAAACTATAATGACAATCATTGAACTGTTATCATTATTAAAACATTGCCCAGGAGATTCTGACATTGTATAGAGGTTTCAGCAACTATATACCAGATATAGGCTGTACATAATAGCAATAAGGCAATGGAGGAAGAGATGGTGAAAACAAAGTTGTAACTGTGAAGTAAACAATTCAATATCTGTAGCATCAAAGACTACTTTAAGATCTGGTCTCCAAATGTGTTCTCTCCACTATAGGTAACATAGAGGAAACCATCTTCATCCTTCTGCTCCTCATATATGGCAGACATAATTGCCCCTGCAAAAACCATACAGAACAGCAGCATCGAGGCACGTTAACAAAAAGGGTCTGGCGACTCGCTAAACAAGATGTAAAGTAGAGCACACCACAGTAATAACTATGAAAAAACAAAGACAAATGGGATTGCAAGGCCTACCTGTGGGTGGCAAGGCATTGTCCACAAATATGAAAATTGCCTTCTCCGCACTCAGTTTGATCCTTTTCCGAATCACATATACAAATTGTCCAACTGTCAAGTCAGCTGGAACAAGATACCTGTAATTTTCTTATTTAGGTTAACCAAAAAAATCTCATAAATATTTGCGTGTAACCACTGCCATGAAGTCATTCAAAAAATCTGAATCAAACAATCGAACAGGGCAATAATCAGTATTCCCCAAAAGGACCTTAAGCAACAAACAATTCCGAACAATCATTTGTTTTGGAGATATCAAAGATCACAGCTTTTTCAAAGGGGAAAAAAATTAACAAGGACGCAATTAGGTCAACAGTTTAGTCTTCCACAACTTGCACAATGACAAGTCAGGGAAGGATTGAACCCACTGGAACGAATCTACAGGGCTATCACCTTCTTTGGCCAAGATCAAATACTTATTTTTATGGCAGCAAGCAAAACTATTAAAATACAAAGTCAAGGGTCTGAGAAAAAAAAAAGTCAAGGTTAAGATATCATTCTTAAAGAATTATTTGGTTCCCTTCAATTTACGCCATTACAAATTTACTGTAAATTGATTCTTGCTTTCAATAATAAATAAGAGCTTGTAGTGCAGGGGTATGTGAGAGAGAATTTTACAGGAATTTCCTACGGATTCCATGGTCCTTTAATCCTCATTGCAAAAAGTGGTATAAGAAACGGTCATGAGAGAAGGATTACGTTTGATAATCTCATGAATTTTAGTTTTCCACATAATACACGGTCCCTGAAAACTACCGATTTGTCCCGGTACAAATTGATTTTAAAGTGTCCTCAACCACTAGAATCTGAACCACAATGCTATATCATAAGAATGTGGGAAGTAAAAAGGAAGATAAATCTGAGAATTGAGAGCGGATTGCTGGTACAAACGATTCTTACTTTTTCTTATCAATGTTGGGTATATCACTTCTCTCCGCCTTCTCCACAATCACCTATAAATCAGAAAAAAAGGTTTACATGAAAGTCAGTCAAGGAACCCAAAAAAAACTAGTTAATAACTGAACAAAGAAATTATGTGCTTCTGGCAGCATCACTGAGACAAAACTGGTCTCTTTCAAGTTTCATCAAGCTTATGTCATTAATGAGAAGAGAAAATCCTTGACACACTTACAAAAGTTGAGACTATTATTAAAGACCTGACGTCTGCAAGGTTGTGAATGAGGGTCAGCAAAAGTATGATTAGAGGATGAAACAACATCAGATCGCTGTCTCTAGCTGAATTTTCTGGAAAAACTTGAAACTTCATGAAACACTTGAGAGGCCAAATCATGAGTTCAGAGAACATTTAGTTTGTCTTAATACGCAATGGCAAAAATAAACAGTCATGCTCAAAAGTCACATATTCTATGACATCCCCTTTTTATTACAGAAACTGATTCTTCAAGAAGTGTTGATTGTAGTAACTACCATAATAATAATAATAAAGTTAATTGTAGTAACCAATAGAAACAAAACCCATGTGGTTACAAGTGTTCACTTTAATGTGTCATTGGGCACAGCACTTGTTCAAAGCAAAATGTGTGAATCTAGGGGAAGACACGTAGTAAGCACGGCAGAGCAAAGTGTGTAGGATGAAGTAATGACTTGACAAGTGTCTTTGTCATGTGTCAAGCAAAGAGATCAAATCATACAACGAGACATGTCCTACTTGCCTTGGCCTATAAATTCAGCCACCTCTCACTTGTAGTAGTAATTGTAGAAAAGAAGGAATAGATGGAGAAGATAATAGAGAGAGAAAGAAATTTGTAAGGTTTGCGGCGGAAATCAACGATGAATTGAGTTTTGATTACTATCGATTTCAAGTAAATTGTTCACAGTGTTATGAACAATGGATCTACAGCTATCGACTGGGGATTGGATAACTAGTGGTACTAATCTAGATAAAGTGAGAGTGCTGTGCACGATCTCAAACCATGGTAAGATGTTATTATTTTCAATGATACCAACTCCTATGCACGGAACAAGAGGTTCTCGTTCGAGCGCAGTGGTTGTTCGACCCCGTTTCAAGAGGATTCCTCTGCAAGGATTTAGTTTTCATAAGGTTCCTCCTATATGAATTGATTAACGATTTTAAACTATGAAGTCATATACAATATGTTTTTGTCTTTATATCTCTTTGCAAAGAGTGTCCTGCTTATTATCTCAAAATTTTGTATTTCTATTCACAAATTCCGATTGATATGAAATTCTATATATTTTGTTGAGTTGGCTTGGGGCTAATTATTTTGGGATTGATTGGTATATGTACAAAATACACCTGGAGCATACTTTGTGAAATGTGATTATGGTCCTACGGGGTATGATTAATCGGTATGAGTTTGGATTTATATCCAAGTGTCACTTGTCATATTACCAAGATGATTCAAGTAGTTAAATTGTCGTATTTGACTCATGATTCTGCAATGTTCCTGTTGTCTATCGATTGAGTTATTTAGTTTTTGATCATTCGTACTTTTATCGTTTCCAATTAATTAATTTTTCAAGATGATCTGAGAAGAAATAACTATGATTGAGATATCAACCATTGAAGATTTGTAACCTTTGTTTTAAATATTGTAATACATAGTTTGAGGAGATTCATTTGTATATTTTGGAGACTCGATTACCAGTAATTTTTATTTATTTTTGAGGTAGTTAGAGCTCTGTCTCTTTGTTTTTGGAGATATATTTGTGGAATTTGATTAATTGATCTATTAGTTAACGCATCTGGGCTCCAAGGAACCACGGCGTTACATATTCTCCACCGGTTGATGCTGCTAGTAAAATAACTTTTGGGACTATGTTTGCGTCTTAAACCACAAATTTCATCTCAATGGTGCTCTGGTTTATATATTTAACTTCTTGACAGGATAGCCTTACCACTAAATCAGTAATATGTATCTCTCCCTCACCAATTCAATTTTTCCCTTCTATGTTTACAGACCATTATATATGCCCTATATTTTTTGTTTTCCTTATACTTGGGGCAGTTGAATTATATTACATGTTCCCTATCTCCCAAATCATAAATCCTACCAATTTCAAATTTCCAAATAAATAACTATCATTCGTCAAATCAACAAACTCCAACTGTTTAAATTCGTTGACCACATTGATTCTACATTCTAAGCAGCCAAAGGAAAACTACTGTCAAACTGACTTCTTAAGTGAACTCACCGACAGCCCAGAAAATTTAACAAGCTTTTAAGGCTGCAGACTAGCAATTTTTTCTTCTTTTCTTCTATTAGAATTTAAAAATCACCTTGGTAAGTTCCAGTTTTTGTGAAAGCCAGTTCCTGGCATTCCGCAAGAATATGATGTTGCCCATTTAGGACCATCCAGTGACTACTTTGATCTCTTAGAAAACCCAAGTGCCCCACAAGTGTTCCTTCCTGGGAAGGTCGCAGGGGAATCCACAGCATCTCAGTATTTATGTCATGGAATTGATGAAAGCTTTTATTGCTACATACCTAATATGACTCATTCTTTTCGTGGCTCAAGTAAGGAAATACTTGGAAACCAAAGTCTAACATAATGCACTAGGACAACCAAAATTGTCCATGTCAACTCTAAATATCTATTACAGTTTGAAGTCGTCAATTACCCCAGATATGCTATGACTTCAACCCTTATTGCACATCTCAAGAATCTCTAAATCATATTTGTATATAATGCATGTGAACTCAATCCTACAACAAACTGGAGTAGGGACTGGTCATTCCAAAGAGGTATTCAAACGGTTTCAAGGACACAGGAAGCAGAAAGCAGCATGGCCCAACCAAATAATTCATATGAGACAATTAACAGTCACCATATGGTACAGATTCTCCCATTGGCTTCCCCCATTCAAAAACTAAATGCATAAAAGCCAAAAAATCATTTGATGGCACTTAGAATAGAACAAAATTAGATGGTAACAATTCGCAACTGAAACATTAAAGAGATATCTTGAAGGGAAACCAGAAATGAGAATTCCAGAAGAACAAAAGCTACCGTAACTGTAGTTTCAATGGTATAAAATTATAAATTGTCAAAACACAAAGAGCTAATGTGAAAACAGTATGCCTGAAATTGAATGTTGTCCAAAGGCTCAATACATTATTAGAACCTAAATTACAGCTAAATCCTCTCCAACAACACTTAGCTCAAGAACCTTAGATGCTACGCACTTCAATGCTTTTCAACTTCCACAACCATAATCTCTAGCCATAAAAAAGGCATCCCGTGGAGAAGAATAATTTAAAAGGCTAGGACAATTAGTGACACTGTTATCTCTCGAACTCACTTCTCATGCATTTTGAGTCTCCATGAAGTCACGCACACACAATGGTGAATATGGAAAGTCACAAGTGGACAGCCAATACCAATGCAGATGAAAAGGGGAGCGCAAGGAGAGAGGACAGCCCAAATAAGTCAAACTCCATTTAAGGAACCTATATTGGTCAATGGTAAAACAATGCATGAATTAAAATTTAAAATCTACAAACTATGTTCAATCCTCACCGGAATCCTATCAGGATATTTCTCCCTGATCCTACCAGCCTCCGAGCGCCTCTTCTCTGAAGATCAGAGAAGACAACTTAGAAACATACTAAAAACATATACCAACAAAAAAATTGCAGACGGTGACAAGAATGAAAATTCAATATACAAAGGCCAGTACAAACCAAGATCATGTTCTTGCTTGAATACACTTTTTGCCATTCCACCTGAAATTACAATTAGCAGACAAAATCAAACAAGATTAGTAGATTACTCGAACAAGAATATAACCACAACACGACTCTCAACAAAAATCCACAAATCAAGAGACAGAACCCTTATCCCCAAAATTCCTGGCTGTGGGTAACATAGAATTTTCATAAACAAAAATATCGACAAACCCATCTTGATATCAGACCAACCTGATAAACCCAATCAAATTTCCATATAATTTGACTCGTTTTCTCACCACAACTAACAAAAAGATCCAAAACGCGGGAAAAAAACAAAAAGAAACTTTGTAAACAAAGCAAGAAACTTAGATTTGGGAATGAAAAAACAAAACACAAAATATCCGAAAAAACAGAGGAAATTAAAGGGACTAACCTTTTCAAAGAAGAATGAAGAAAATTAAAAACAGCTCTTTTGTTTGCCGAACTTAGGTAAGATGGTCTGGTTTGATAGAAGAAGATAAAATATGACGGCTTTAGCTTTGGCTTTGGTTTATATACAAAACAATAGAGGACGTATTTCAGTCACATCCCAAAAGTTCTTATAAATGGCATGAATGCCGCTTAATATTTTAAAATTACATGAAGATCCTTAATCAGATAACACTTGGATCGGATTTGTTCATGTTTTTATTTTATCAAGTTTAGGTTTGTCAATAGACCGAATTGCAGTCAATCTAATTTTAAATTCGATTAAAAAGTTTCAATCCAGATCCAATCTGATTATGTAAAAGATCTTATTTTATTAGTTTATATATGAATTCATTAAGAATCAAATATTCGATACGACCTGAATAACTAAATCAAGTTGTATTTTTGTAAACTATATCCAATTTTAATATAATGTTTATTACATAATTATTTAATTTCATAACAAATATAAAAATATAATGTCATGCAACGAATTTATGTTTGAATCTGAAACAGGTGATCTCCAAATTATTTTACTAATTCAGGGACCATAAATGTAATTTTTCTTAAACTAAAATATAAATAAGTCATTGCCTAATCATTAATCATTATCCATTGGCAGTGGTTGGGAATAACTATGACATGATGACTCGTAGGAAGAAGCGGAAGAGGGTTGCATGAACTCGGTCTCTATAATGGGCTCCACCTGAAATGATCAGACGGTTCTAGGTATCTGATCTGAATCACTATGGTATTCAGACACATGAAAACGATTGTACGAACGAACGGTCCAGATCTGTTGATTTTCAATTTTAAATTACAAAACCATTTTACACGGCAGCTGCAACAGTTGTACAACATTGCAGGTGGATTGTAGGTTACCCAAGGCTGAAACTACACCGCAAGCAAGATATAAACAAAACTAGCTCCAAGAGTATATATATTTGTTTCTCTCTCAAAATAAAATATAAGAATTTATATAAAATTTTCACTAAAATCTCTCTTTGTTTCTTCCTCAGTGATCTTGAGCATGCTTCTGTCCTTCACTAACCTTCCTATTTATAGAGAGTTTTCTGGTCAAAAAAGAGGGAACACATTTAAGACTTTAGTAAACTTTGTCAAAGTTTCAACCGTCCACCATCAAGCAATTCACCGACAAGCCGTCAATAGGGTGGCTATTAGGATGGGCTACTGGGTAATAGAGTCAACTACTGGACAACCTTCTGATGGAGCTGGAATATTCATGGATTTCTTTTTTATTTTATTATTTTTTGTTTTTATGGACTTTAATACAACAATTTAGAACTATTTTATGTCAAACATGGTTCAACTTATTAGTGACTAAGATTCCACTACATTACTTATGAATATAATATAATTTTAAATAGGAGTTCACGTGATGACACAGACAAGTTGTAACTTTAGACATTTTGAATTCAAATTTTAATAACCGTCTGGGTCAAACTATGATAATTTATCCCTTATGAATAACCTAATTCCTTAATCTCGGCGTGAATAATTTGTCTTAAATCGGATTGTAGAAAAAAATAGTCGAATTTTTTGTAAATTGACTCAAACACCTGACAGTTAAAACAAAAAAAATATATAATATATGCCTTGGAATTTATACAGTGACATAGTTGAATCTCAATCCCTAGACAATAATTTAATATATAATTTCTTAGGAGACTTAAATTTATTGGAACCTGGAATTAATAATAAATTTCATTTAATGTTGAGACTTACTATTAATAAAATAGTCACAATGCATTAAATTCCAAATTAGATATCCATATTAGGCGTTAATAATATTGCTCATCATTTTATTCTCATTCTATTATTATAAGGGGCTCAAATTCTTACAGTCTCAAATAAGTTTATCCAACGATAATTAATATTATATTGCACATTCAAACTTATGAAATACCGAGATTTTGTTGAGGTTGATGTACCCGTATTTGATACCGTATCGAATATTATATTCGAGAATACGTATCAGATACATCTTCTACGTATCTGATAATAATTAAATATTATGATATTTTTGTGGTCGAACAACATATCTAATTTTTAAGTTGAACTTTTAACATTTTTTTTCGAATTCACATACCATACAATACATCAACAAAAAATTCATATTACTTCAAAGATACATGAGTGTTTCTTAAGTATTATCTATAATTACATGTCAAAAGAGCATAAAATAAAGTTATTACATTATTATCTTAATAAAAATTATATCTAAATACTAAGTAAATATTACATTTGATTTCTTTAATTAGTCACTTCACTTTGTGAGTATACATACAACAACGATATGATATATATTTTTTTGAAACTAAAAAAAAATTACTAATTTTTCTTATTGTATATTTAAGAACTACCAAAATACATAAGTATTAAGTTGATTTAAAATAATAAATATATTAAATATATTTTATTATAGTCATACTCGTATCCTACTTTTTTTAGACTTTATTGTCTCATCATATCCATATTATATCGTACTCGTATTTTATATCTGTATCTGTACTTCGTAGATTCAAACACAGTTACCCATAGTATACTATAGTTTAACTTACTATATTATGCTACACAAATGATCTACGCCTATGTTAATTAGCCTGGCCCAAAGCTAAACCTAGCTTTGACACCACCATTGGTGGCTGCAAGGCATTGAATAAAAAGTTTCTTCTATGGCTGAGAGTGTATTGATGTTTGGTTATGAATCTATACATGGAGTTGTGGCACTATTTTCACAAGATAGTCAATTGGCTGTCATTATATGATCGCTTTAGGGCACTAAATTTTTAGTCCTATCCCTTAGCTAAAGAATTGTCAAGCTCATGATAGCCATATCAAAGCAGTTTAGTAAGGATTAAAGTAGTTTGAAACAGCTTTTCTTCATGCAAGATGACATTGCATGTGTATGAATCTCTTCAGATTTTATGATGACTAAAATCTCGTGTATTAGATAGTCATCTCTTATCTTATAATTTGAGCAAGTCATAGAAATAAGGGTGAATTTCATTTGCTCGTCGCTTCTTCTATATTTTGTCTGTGTTTGGTGGAAAAAGTATCTAATGTAAGAAAGATATCATTTTATTACCGCCACGTACTATCACTATTTAATGAGAAACTAGAAATTAAATAAGTAATCCTAGATAATTCGATAACTACTCCTCCATCAAATATAATAATTACCCATATTATATGTGGGGTTCACTTTATTTATTTACTATTATTCTTATTAAATAATAATATCGCGTAATATTAATGACATAAATATTTACTACTGT